CCCAAGTCTTGGTTCCACTGATTTAATTGTTGTTGTTGCTTTGGTAGTGTTTGCAATTAGCATGGTGCCCAGGGCCGGCTTTGTCGACAGGCGACACAGGCGGCCGCCTGGGGCGCCATCTAATAGATAGGGCGCAAAATTTCAAAAAAAAAAAAAAAAAAAAGTTCATTAAATTCATGTTTGTAATATGAAATGCACTCTCTACATACTCAAAATTCCCCTTTGAAATGACATGAAATTAAAACATCCATATTTAAATTCTAATGATCTGGCTGCATTTCAAGCTCCCGCTTGAGCCACCGCTCCGATGCATTTGACCGTTAAGGTTGCCATAGTAGTCACGTGCGTGGGTGGCACTGTGAAGGACATCCTGTTGTTGTCGCGTTTAAATGTTTGATATTTTACGATGAAAAGAACACCTAAGCCATCGGGATCAGCATTCCGAAAGCGAAGGAAGGAAGAAGAATAAAAACGGGCCCAAAGCAGAGGTATGTAGACTTTATAAGTTTTGCAAAGGAACTTTTTGCGTTATTATTGTAGCTAACTGCCTCTCCTGCCACGCACGGTCCACGGACGGACCCTCGCTAGCTGTTTACATACACAATGCAGTATCTGTAACTTTAACCCATTCATTTTACTTTTGAATCGTCGTGTCCAGATGCAGTGAGACAATGTTGAGTCTCACTGTGATGATGAAGAATGTAAGATTTTTAACTGGTTTTTGGAGCTTGATTGCAGCCTTTTATGAACGTTGTTTCAAGTTTTAAGTACGCATACAATATGAATTTAATATTTGTATATCAGAAGAACGCTAGGTGTGGGTGTAGCAAATTTTCAACTTTGTCCGACACATCGGGCGGGCGGCACCGCCGCGGCCGTGGCGGTGACTCCCCCGCTGCCGGCGGGGAGTGAGAACTGCTTAAACCCAGCATGACATCTTATGCCGTCTCTTTCTTGTTTATGCTGCAGCGTCTTCTATCCAGGCATGACGCAGCAGCACATTTACTGAGCTACAATCTCAGCATCTAGAACCAGGTGAGTAAGTCACTTGTTAGGCTTGTAATCAGCAGTAGAAACGGGCTTTTTCAAATTAAACGGCTTATCACATATATCGATATGCAAAATTAATTTATTTGAATCCACACCAGACACTTGTTTTTGGCACAATCAGTGCAGCATTGATTTAGCATTGAGAATATTAAATAATCTCAACCTACACATCTGAAATTGTCTCCTTATGTTATTGTCAATTAGGCTGTAAATTTGTAAAAAAGGATGGACGTTAGTTTTTGTGACATAGTGAGTCATCTTCAAGGTATAAAGGTTTATGCCCTGAAGAAGGTCTTACCGAAATGTTTCGGCGTTTCCTTGTTTAATAAATGAAATCCTCAGAGTGCCTCAGATCACCGGATCTTCTTCCTCATATTCTACGATTTATTTGATGCTGAAGAGCACCTGAGAGTGAGACATAAGTTTTTTCAAATATTCCCCACTTCCACCTGTTTTTGATAATTTTATTCATGTTTTCATAGAACAGATTAAAAAAGATCAATAAAATAAAAAGTCCAGTAATATTAAAAATAGTGAAAAGCATCACTGCACATGACTGAGGAATATTGAATGTGAAAGTGGCACTGTTCTTAATTCATGCATCAGAGGGTTAAGTTGCTGTGTGTGTGTGTGTGTGTGTGTGTGTGTGTGTGTGTGTGTGTGTGTGTGTGTGTGTGTTTATTTTCTCACAGAAGAAGAACCCAACACCAGCAGACTCAGTGCTCCAGTCCAACAGCCTGAAGAGACACCATCAGCTTCAACAGATGTCTGTGAACATGTATGAGCTGCTGGCCCCATGGATCCTGCTGACTGGCCACAGCAGTTGAACGAAATGGAAAGTACAACTTTCTTTATGATGACACTTTGATATTTGAGTTTTGCTTTTGATTTAACAGTTTAATGCTGCTTTTGATTTTGCATCCCCCCAATGACATTTGCACAACATTTTGAGTTGTCGGTTATTGTAATATTCCCAGGTTACTCATCTTTCAAGCTTACATTTATTCTTCAGGCTGTTGACTTTAAAGAGTTGCTGTGTGAATATTTAAAATAAAAACTTAGTAACTAAGGAATAACTGTGGAGTTGCTTTTTCCAATGTGTGGACTTGGGTTTTGGTGAGTGGCGGGGGGGGGGGGGGGGGGGGGGGGGGTGCAAATGGGCACTCTCGTCTTGGGCACCAAATTACCCAGAGTCGGCCCTGATGGTGCCATGAGCTTCCCAATCCTGCATGGTTTCCCCACCAACGGAACTTTAAGACAGAGAGGAAATTATCTCTGTCTGGCTCCAAAACAATTGCTAATCTGAATCTGGTGCCCTTGAGCCTGTAAGGCTGCAACAAATACTCCCCCTCAGAAGAAATGTGGAATGCTGCCGTCGCTATGGCATCTCTGTCTCCTATCCCAGCCTGGGCGGGACTGCGGGCAGTGAAGGCCGCATAATCATTCCAGGAGTCACTGTGCCCTCCAAAACTCAACAACCTCCTTCCCCTGTCCAGACTAAAATGATGTGCGCTGCTTATCATGGCTGCAGGAACTGACGTGTGGAGAGTCCCAAACCCACCACCCCACCTAGTGGACACTTATGTTGTGTGATGTATGAAGTCTGTTGCATTTCTGTCTGAGGTGTTTTTTGCATAGCAAAGCTGCCCTCCCTGTGGAGGGTAACTCTGAAGTGCCTTTTTTTTCCCTCCACCTGAACCAATCCTCATGTAACCCCTCTTAACTCTATTAAGGTAGCGCGACTCAGGGTTGCGAATGACCAGTCACAAATTCTTGTCATGTGTCTTTGCCTTTGTATGTCTGATCTCTGAATTGTGTGTACTGAGACTCTAATTTCCCTCTGGGATTAATAAAGTTTCTTTGAATTGAATTTTGAATTGAAGACTGGGTTATGTGAAAGAGCCACACTGCCATCAAGTGGTTAAGGAATGAAATTCATGTGGATGTCACGCAGAAGGTTATTTAAGCCACAGTGCAAACTTTGTGTGGGCAGAATAAGAACCAAAGACGCCTAAAGCAAATCTCTGCTTGGCATTTCCATCTTGGCCTAGCAAAGCGTCGCTCTCAAAAGTTACAGTAAAAACTTAGAAGTAACTCAGTTTGTTTTGCTTTGACTTCCTACGTGAAACCGGAAGTCTGCGTGTTCGAGACATTAAGAGTAAAAGCAATTTGGAAAACGGTTTGATGATTCGGTTTCGTTTTGGAATCATTTGGGCCCGCGATTTGAATTCCACGTTTTGAAGTCGCAGAGGTGAAGGAACCAAAAAGTCAAGCCACGATCGAAGATTACCACATCCTCTCCTTTCAAGACCGACGTTGACCGAACAGGGAGCCAGTAACATTTAATCCAAAAAGGCCACGAGCCAGGAACCCAAGGCTGTTGGAGCCGCTGGCCACCCTCCCGGCGACGGAAAGCAGGTCTGTGAAACATCCCATCTGGCTGACTTTTGTGCTAAGCTCGATTAGTGAATTCAGATTAGTCCATTTCTTTTATGGCTTGTTTATTTCGATCCCACATTCACGTTTAGCTCTCAAGATTTATCTTCTTTCTCTACTGCACATGAATCCTTATTCGCACACACCCTCCTGTATTCCTATACCCATAGGAACGCACGCACACACACTTGTTCTCCTTACAGAAGTCATTCCTAATATTTACTATAATCCTATGTGTCACCAAATTTGTGTTTATCCACTTACTTATTCTCGTGTTTGGTTCTCTTTGTCAAGTGTCACGACTGATGTTTTTAATAAATTCACAAAACTTAAATCATGCCTGATCATTGCCTAGCGATCTCAAGAATATCCGGCGCATTCTGACAAGAATTCAGCTTTCAGATTAAAATGTGGTGTTAACTTTGAGACTGATTACATTGAGAAGATATAAATATTAAATCCAGTGTCCCCGTTCACACAGACAAAACTGGGTGGTGCCCCGAGTTATTTAATATAAAATTATAAACGACGAAAACAAGCTAAGTCTACACCACATTTGATAAATACAGATGAAAATCCATATTTATCGCTACACTCAAGACTTGACTGGAAATACTTGTGACTTACTTGTGACTTGCAAAGCAGTGACTTGGTCACACCTCTGCTTTTGGGAGTTATGAAATTAGATATTTGTTGATTTCAACATTTTTGTAACACTTTACAATAAGGGTCCATTTATTAATGTTACTTAGTGCATTATTAAGTATTAATAAACAATGGACCCCTTTACTTTAGATATTAACTATTAAGTTTCCTTAAGGTTAGGACAGAGGGCCAGGGGTGTCTGCTTAGTAATGCATTACTTATATTTTATATTAATATTAAGTCGTTGATACTATTTTATGTTATACTTTATTAATGCTTAACCATGCACTAATTAACATTAATAAACAAATCGTTATTTTAAAGAGAAATACTTTTTTTTTTAAAATAAATAAGGGTGCTGCTTTCTGTGATGAACAGGCGACCTGTCCAGCGTGTCCTCTACCTCTCTCCTGATGACAGCTGGAGTTGGGCATCAGCTAAAACACTGCTCTGAAAAGGCTCTAACATGAATCAATATTAATAATAAAAAAATAAACTAGTGAAAACGTTTTGGAAACCAAATTTCAAGTTATAAGTGATGCCTAATATTTCTCCTGTATGTGCGAAGTGATCTTGTTTTTAAAACAAATCTGGCCAGAAGAACTGATGAATATTCTCAAAGCTCAAAGGAGCTGTGCCATGCATCTAAATGAGTCGAGGGAACTCGCCACAGCTCAGACCCATGTCTTGGAGCAAATCGTAACAAAGAAATTGAAAGGATGAAGTTAACTTTAAGACTTGGAACAGAACTGTTCCACCTACACTCAGACAACCAAACCCTCATGTGGCAAAAATAAGTGCTTAATTAAAAATTGGATGCTTATTTGTAATTACTCATTTGTGGTGATTCAGTTAACTTTGTTACTCACCCTTTTGGGATGGATAGTAGATAAGTCTTTCCATCTCCAGTATTTAACTTGCAGGTGGATGAATGATGAAGTTCTGTTGTGATTGTGACCAATTCAGAAACAGCAGCCATAGATTGTATTGACAGCAAGAGAGCTGGAAAAAAGACCAAAAAAAAAAAAAAAAAGCTTTAAATGATCAGGCACCTGTGTTTGGATTCTGGTTTCATTCTAATTTTAAGCAACACTAATGAGTTTTTAGGACTTTAAGCTATTATGTCTAACTGATTTCATTGGTTTTTGGGCGAGCAACTTCATGTTGAAAATCCCTTTGTAGCCCTATGCTGACCAGAAAGTGGGCTTAAAAGGTTTTGTGGTCAAGGTAGGAACACTGGGGGAGGTCTCTACTTGCTTTATGACCAAGCCCCCACAATGCGGGACAGAAATTGAGGCCAATGCGGAAGTGAAAGAAATTGCAGTTCCACCCTCATCCACTAGGGGCTGGTGTCAGAAGCGAGCAAATCCTCATTGACTCCCATGTTAAAAATACCAATTTCACAGCAGAAATAAACATGTTTACAGCTTGGTTCCAAAACATGTTTTTGGTTTAAATGATCTAGTTTACACTCATGACAACTCTGAGTAACTCTGTGAGTGTATTAAAAGCCTAAAATTCGGTATAATTAATGAGCATCAGACCCACGTGACCACAGAGCTAGCTCCATGGAAAGGCCTCAGTAGAGCCTCAGTCTGGCCTGGAAACTGCTCCGGGATTTTGAGTCTCTGTGTTTGTGTATTCTTTTTTGGATATTTTTTGTGCAATTGTTGGACAAAATGACTTGCTGTGGCATTAATTGCACTAATAGAGTGTCCAAGGAGTCTCCACCTCATTTTTTTCGGTAAGTAAAATTATATTTATGTAGATTTTAACATGTACTGTTTAACCATGAAATTTAAATCTAATAGGGTAAAACCCAGTGCATGCTGCACTTTAGAAAATGGGTTGAAATATAACATGTTGGTGGAGCTGGGTTCCGACTATCGGCTTGTGGAGCTCTCGGGAGACCGATGTTTTGCACCTGGTTCTCCCCTCCCCGTAGCTCGGCGCATCTCTGATCGCCGTGGCTCCTGTCTGCTGCGCGGGGTGCCAGCTTGTGGAGCTCTGGGATGGAAACCTTTCCACCCGGTTCTCCTCAGCGGCAGCTCTGCCCATCTCAGATCGCAGCGGCGCTTGTCTGCTGTGCGGCTGCCGGCTTGTGGAGCTCTCGGAGATCTCTGTGTTCCACCCGGTTTTACCCAGCGGTCAGCCCGGCGTATCTCTGACTCAGAAGCTCTGGTGTTGTGCACAGTTAACTCCGGTTGTAGCTAGGTTGCTACCTCCGTTAGCTTAGCTCCCACCTCCACGTTAGCTTTGTGTTAGCTTCAGGTTAGCTTGTAGCTAGTTCGACCGGGTGTCGTCAGTTGATCCCAGCCTTACAGCTCCACCCTCAGCTCCACCTCTCTTCCCTTTTGTGGAATTGTCTGGGCTTGACGGAACCTGTGAAACGGTCAAAATGGCGGTGGTGGCCACCTCCCATTTACCTCCTCAAAAACGTGTTATTGGAGCTTATGGAAATGAATTGTCCAGTATATATGTCGATGTTTATGACAGTAGTCGTTTACTGTGCCGTTAGCTCATACAAAGGCTAGCAGTTAGCTTTTTCAGTTCGCTGAGATAATCAGTAAAGCGATGGAGGAAAATAATGTTTTTGATGCCATCGTGACGGAACCTGGAAGTAAGAGAGTTGTCTTTGGCGGGGAAGCAAAAAGCTAAAACTAGTGAACATCCATGCAGCCATTGAAGGGAGCTGAAGGAGGCTACAACATCACAGACTGATGGGGACTTGGCTTTGTTGCTACTGGACTTTTTATGCTACTTGTCCCAATTTGTGGATCTTTGGACCTCGTGGCTTATTCAGAATAAGATGGTTTGAGTAAGCAATTTATTAACTCGTTAGCACTAGCTACAGTAGGCTGCAGCAGGATCGTTTACAGGAGTTGTAATTCTGCTTTCAACCAGTAGGAGGGAGAAGTGAATTACTTAAGTTTTGCTTTTAATGAATGAAACTGGAGTTTGACAAGGGCAGTTCCTGAAAACAAAGCAGAGCAATCAGGCTTTTTTATTTGATCAAAACCGAAACAGTAATGTGACTTTTTTTTTACATTTGTGTTTGTCGCGACTTTTTCCACATTTGATCTTTAAAATGTAGAGAAAAAAACAACCCTAATCAAATGATGCAAGTTTAACTGGTGTTTTAACAATGAACATAAATAGTGATGAAAATGATTTATTCTATTCCTCATAAATCACATAAGTTTGTTTTTATGAACTCAGTGAGTTATGAGAAGGTTTTCCAAATTTTCCTATGAAAGTATTCCAAAAATCTATATTCCTCGTCAGACTTGAGCTTTTTGTCTTGTTTTTTAGTGTAATTTTTTTTATTTCCCCTTGCTATTCTGGATTGCTCAGACCTCAAAGTAACACAAAACAAAACATTTCATATGAAATATATTTTTTTAATTAGGTGTTAAAATCTGAATCTGATTTGTAGATTAAAAAAATTGTGTAGAAAATAATATGAATGTGACCTACCATCTTTGCAGTGGAACTCCACAGTCAAGTAGCTCCTCAGGTCGGGGCAAAGGTCATCAGATGTGTTCATAACGTCGATCTGACAGACTTGTTGGCCTTGACATTCAGCTAAAAAATAACAAATTTCTAAACTGACTAGAAAGTCATTTAACAATATCTTAATATCCAATATAGGTCCTATTGAAAACAATATTTCTGCTTCTTCCACATACAGACATTAGATTAATTGATAAAAATGACATTAAAATGCAAGAATTTCTAATTGTTTAAGCTCAATATTAAGCCTGGCAAGCCATCCTACAGTGCTGTTATATAGTCTTGCCTAGGCCTATTGGCTCTCAGTCATGGGACGTGATCTGTGGTTGTCTTTCAAACTGTGCATGCTACTGGAGATTAACGTGACATACTCACCACTACGGATGTCAGTCAACAGGGCAGTCTGCCATATACCTCTGAAGAACACACATTTGCTCTTGACTCAAAGAAAAGCCCAAGACTAAAGTTGATGCCAAAGCCGTTTCAAACGCACCATCATCATCTTAGGCCTAGTCCACACGTAGCCGGTTTTTTTTAAACGAATATCCACCCCTCCAAAAACTTGCATCCACACCACCTCGTTTTAAAAAACTCTGTCCACACATACCCGGATAAATATGTTGTTAAGGACATGCCAGACCTGTAGGGGGCAGTACTTCCCCCGTTCTTAACCTCGTCCTTCGTCTGTGGTCTTCCGCAAGGAGCAGTAATTCCGCTTGCAAAAACAAACAAGCAGAAAGCGCTTGGACAATTGATAAAGCGAGCGCAGCTCTGAGGGCATCCATGCTGTCGGCTAGTGTAAACACAGGTCGCACACGTGATGTCAGCATTTTTTTGTCGCGGAAAGTGACGTTGCGGACCTTAAAACTCTGGTTTTGTCCGTCCACACACAGACACCCAAAATGGAGAAAACGCAGATCTTCACTTTGGCCAGAGTTTTTTAAAAAGATCAGTTTTCGTGTGAAAAAAACACAGTTTTCGTGTGGATGACAGGCCAAAACGTAGAAAAATATCTACATTTTGGCAGATCCCCGGCTACGTGTGGACTGGCCTTAGTTTTGCTCAGTCGCAGTAGCATTCGCCCACCAAACTGAGTGTGGCTGGACCAACATGCAGAGCAAAATAATTTTTCTTCGGCAACTGATGGTTTAGATTTCTATGCTATTAAACAGCAGGTTAATCGAGAAACCATTAACTTATTTTTGTGCAGGTCATTTACCATTCATTTTACCAGTCCTGCCATATGAGACTAAACCTGAGCTTTACTTGGCTTTTCCATTTCTGCAACTACTTCTAGGTGCATTTTTGTCTCAGACGGAAAGCTTGACAGTTTTCCCCATCAACTCTGATTACTATGATGAGTATTTTTAGCCAACCAGGACAGCAGGATCCAGAGATACTTTACAGCATGGGTGGATTGAGAAGATGAATAGTGATCAGTTAAAAGCTCGAGTCAATAGTTAAAGTGAATAGATAAATATCTGTTAAGCGTGGGGTAGGTATTACGCTTTTAAGCGTAATACCTCACAGAATGGGCCATTAGTCTTTTCAAACAAGTCTTCAGAGAAACAATGTGTTCTTTGTGTTAAAAAAGCAAACATTTAGTGATGGATTAAATTTCATGTCTGTGCAGGTGCGTTTATTTTCTCCTCTCCGAGCCCAGGCGAGTAAATCTAAAGCTTTAACCAGAAGGCAAATAAAATCAGCTGACACTTATAAGCTGATACAGGTGGTGAGATTTATACTCGTTACCTTTAATGTGGTCAACAGCATCCACCCAGGCACACTCCTGATGTGTGAATGTTGGAGGAGAAGACCTAGATGGGCAGTAGTTAACGCTCCTGCGGCCGCCGTCTATCATTAACACCTGATCAGAGCTGCATTTCAGAGAGGTGCTGCGACCCGACCGTATAATCCTTCTCCCAGATTCTGAGAAGTAAATAAAAGCAGTTCAAAGAGGTGACGCTCACAGAGTGATTCAGTGTTCAGAGATTGACTCGTAGCATGCGCACCGATCTGGCAGATAAAAGCCTTTTCTTGGTAGCAGTCCCTCGTGGCCTCCCACTGGAAATCAGAGTTTCTCAGAACGTGTCCACACCGCGTACCCGGCAGCGGGATGCTTGCCCACTTTGAAAATGTGACGGGTGAACCATCAAGCCAAGAGAGAGGACCTGGAAACAAGAAAATCACCTGAGGGACATACACTCGCTGGCCACTTTATTAGGAACACCTGTTGTATTGTTCACAAACATAATCAGCCAATGACAGCAACTTAACACAGGTGTGTTTAAATTAATGGGTTACTGATAAGCTTCAACCCTTGAACTTGCTGGTCTGAAAAGATAAAACATGCAGGCTGATGGATCTCCAATGCCTGGATTGGACACAACTGATTGTCAAGGAAATACTTCAGCCCTGGATCTACCAGGTCTTTATCTGCTGCTGATATTTAAGCAGGTAAATAAACAGAAATCTTATCAAAAGAAATGAGGGCGTGAAGGTTTACAATCAAATACATGAGGTTGAAGCCGTTTTCACTCTTGGCTGCTCGAGTCCTGTTGGATGTTAATTTTTTTTTCACTAAATAAATGTCATTCAGGGAGAAATGATGATCATGTTTATAGTTTTTACACAGAAACATGATTCAAAAGTCTAATTAAACCTCTTAAGTAAAGCTTTGCAATTAAAGAACAGTCCGTGAACTTTGATATTCTGTAAACATAATTTGGATGAAGGGTAAAAATATTTTTATTTGTTTTCAGTTTTTTCTTCATCCTCACCTTCAGCATCCAGAGGAAGTTGCTTGTTTGAGGAGCAGGATGGTGCCAGTCCGATCCACGAGTCCTTTTCAGAGTCCACAAGTCTCTCAAGGAAAATCTGAGTGTCTTTATCAGAAATAAATGCAAGGTGTCCTCCACTGTCCTCACACCAATCTTGGGCGCTGTGAAAAGATCGCTGCAGAGCCACGAGCTCAAAGCATGAACCTCGAAAAGACTTCTGGTTCTCCGGACAGGAAGCTGTGAAGTTCCTGTCATTCTCAGGCAAAACCTGACAGACGAGCATCAACAATATCAAAATGTGCAGAATCGCCCTGCACATCCTTTCTATTCTCACTTTAAAACAATAAAAGTTGAACTCTGAATCACACTCCAACTTCTGAAAGGTTTCAGAGCACTTGTGTTCTCCCGCAGGCACACCAGGTGACATTCTACCTCTAAAGGTCTGACAAGAGCATTGCTCCCGTATCTTTTCCTGGTTTCTGTTTGTTTACCTATGAGCTGTTGATTGCTTTGCCTTTGTGCACATGGAACAAAGGAACTCCAGGATAGTGGTTTTAGACAGAACAAAGGCAGAACCCATGATGCTTTAGTCGCTACCTTTACTGTCCAAATCAAACTGAGCATTAACAGTTTTCTCCGGAGGGTTTCAGCATCCACAAAAAATGTTAATGATAAAGAAACCCCCACTACTATAAATGTGCTCACGCTGTAAAAAAAAGTATTTGGAATTCACATCAAATCCAACTAATAAGCTATTTTCTTCTCAGTCCAGCGAAATTAAGAAAAGATAAAACAAATCAAGAGACTCCTAAAAGGGACCAACAACCACAAATTGGTATGCAGCTTCTGCTGCTCACCTTTAATAAATCAAGTTTTATTCAATTCAGGCTTTTCCATTTCATCCACGTCAACTCCAGAAGGTCTAATAATTGTGTTTCTAGTGAAAAAATGTATAGTAGTGTCACGATAATGGTTTGAAACACGTGTGAAAGCAACATGCGAGGCGTATTTTATTTTATTAGGCACTAAACTCTGCAGGCTGTTTCACAAACGTAAACTTATTTTTTTCCATTCGACTGAAAAAAAAACTGGTTTCAAAAATCAGAAATGAGAAAAGTTTTTACTTAAATTAATGATTTCTGATCACAATAAAAATACACTTAGCTAAATCTATGAAATGGTCTGATCTGAATAAGAATAACCGCACTAAATAAATCTTTAACTACTTTAATGAAATAAACTATTTTTAGTAAGTGTCTGGTTGTGATGATGGCAAACTCAAATCATATGATTTTTTTTATTAAATGTCAATTATATTTTTCAGCTTGCAAGCAACAGAAAAGGGACTTTTACTATTCATTTTTATTTTTTAATTGTTAGGATTTGCGTTTTATTTTACTTTAAAAATATAAACAGGTATTTTAAAAAGGACATCCTTGCATCATTTTGTGGTCCCATGAAGGTCTCTACTGCCTCCATAAACACCCCAAATGTGAAAAAGTTCCATCCATCCACTTTCTGTCAGTGTTTGTTTTTTCTATGTATTTTTTATGAATTACGTGCACATAAGCTGTTACAAAAAGTCGTAAGTAGAATTGAACCACCTGTCATGCTGAAAATGCAGCGGCTCTACTGCACTTCCCTCCCAGATATCTGAGCTTTGCAGCCTATAGACAAATTTGGCAAGCAATTTGTTCATGTTGCCATCTTGCTGCGCCGCTATTGCTGCATTGCCACGCATCAGTGACTCATTCTTCATGGTGCCATTGAAAACTGAGCCTCTACATCAGGTGTTTTTAATCCTGGTCTTGCATGTTTTAATAGTTCCAATGCTCCAACACCCTGCAGCAGCTCATCAAGCTCTCTAGAAGCCTGTTGATCAACCGCTTATTGAAATAATTAATTGTAAATAATCCATTATTCCTTTCTATATCCAAATTGCTGGTACATTTGTTTGATTTTAATAAGGTCAAAACCATATTACTACACTAAACTAACTACTAAAAACATTAACACTCTAAGAGCTATTTGCAGTATAATTAAGTTAGGACAGATGAAAACAGTATCAAACTGTTCACCTGCCATGCTTATGGCCGTGTTTATCAGTCACTGTTACTGCAAGCTGCAGAAATGTGTGTGTTTGAGGTGAATGTTGCAGATAAAAGGACATGTTCACATCCAGTAGGGCTGCACAATATATCGAAAAATTATCGTCATCGCGATAACAGGACGTGCGATAGGCCCATCGCAAAGCACGTCAAAAACGGCGATAAATGGTTGGTTCAAACATTTCCATCCGTGTCATACATCAGCTTTTTGTAAACCAGCTCTGTTTTTTACGCGGAAGTATTATTTGAGCAATCAAATGTAATCCTTCTGACATGCGGCCAATCAGATGGGTCCGTTCACGTAATATGCCCGCCCCCTACGTGGACCCTTACCCCAAAATTCCACTATCTCCGCTCCGCCCCCGCTTTCCGCTGCCGCTCGCTTCCCTTGTTCTCATGCTGGCTCAGATTAACGAACACACTTTGTGCTGAGGTTCCTGGAATCAGCGCTGCTTTCAAATGTGAATGTGAGTCCGCTCGGTGTCGTTAAGCAGCTGATAATAACCAGGCTGACTCGTGCCGGTGAACCAACCCACTTCCCTACATGTCGCTAGTGTTCCACCGGGTGGTGACGTTAGCCCAGGCTCTGGTTAGCTTCCAGCTAAAAGGCTACAGCACTCTCCTCCCAGTCCCACCCTGCTAAGAGGGCCTGGAAAAGTTCCCCCACACATCAAAGTGATTTTTCATTTATGAGCTTTTATAACCTTGTTAATCAGGATAGTTGATTTGCTGCTGCACATAAACTGTCAGTCAGAAGCTCTGCTAGCCGGTTATCTTAAGAGGAGCTAGCTCAATTTGTTAGCTTGTCATCAGAATCATAGTTGCAGTTTCATCATCTGAGCTGCTTTTTAAGATCTAGGTAAACTTGTTCAATTTGGGGTTAAAAACAAACGTTTTCACATATTTTCCATGTAGTTTTTTGCCAGTTCCTCTTCTGAAAGGTAGACAATTGTTTTTTCTCTTTCCCTCAGAAAATCTTAATATTCTCCTAGTTTGGCCCAGCACAGTTCACTTCCCAATTACAGCAACAGCCTTATATCATAACCACATAAGTGGAGAAAATGTTCAGTAGCAATGAGAGAATTTGCTGTTGCATTTAAGTGATGTTAACTATTATTTAACATTTAAACTTATTTTCTGATTTCATTTATTTATTCAAAAAACCCTGGTAAGGGATGTTTTGCTGCTAATACAGTAGCAGGTGCAGCTGCATATTTTTGCAATAAAAATGTTATGTTGTAATGGAATTCATGCATTAGTTTTTGTTTGCTTTGAACCCAGAGTGGACGTCACACGCCAGACGACATCAACACCGCACACTTTAGTATTTGTTCATTTATCGCGAGTAATATCGATATTGCAATATTAAGCACTGTTATCGAATACCGCAGGTTTTCCTACTATCGTGAACCCTAACATCCATAATATTCTTTGTGTAATGTAGTGAGATTGTGGGTTTAAATTGTGACTAATAAGATGTGGTGATTCTATATAAATATATAGATTTTATATATGGTTTTCCCAGAATATTCTCTGGGAAAACTAGAGGGCGTCATTGTGTGTGACTTTGATAAAAGCGGTTCTGCCTCACTGACTAGCTTTAGCTGCACCCAAAGCTGAAAGTTTGCCTTTCATTTGTTGTTGAAGTGCATTCTGTCTCAATGAATCATCAGGAAGTATGTGGGGGGGGGGGGGGAAGCACCAAACGTAGCTAGATAACTAGATGAACCTGCTCCTATAATGATGATTCATTTGAATGCTTTACGTGTTCCTGGTTGTAAAAAAGGAACTTTTATGTTTCAATTGAGGAACTAATAATAATACGCAACTGATTAAAAATAAAAGATACAGCTTTTAACTTTTAATCTACCTTGTTCCAGCTACCAGTAAGCAAGACCTGCTTAACTTAGGTGTCTCTATCTTAATAGGCGAGCATGAAATCCATGCATGAATGAATCCATTAATTCATAAAAATGTGACTCCTTCACACACACAGGCTTTCCAGAACCCAACAGGATACATAAAAGCATCCTCCGTTTGATTGACATTTACGTCTTGTGCTTTCAAAAGTAAAAATAATAATAATAATAATAAAGATTATGATAACATAAAGCATTTCTAAGTTTCAAAAATGCTTTTGAAGGGCAGAAACCACAATTGTGAAGCAGAACTGGTTTTTAAACTGGTTTCGAGGAAGCTGAAACAGCTCTTTGCCTCCCTTCAGGTGGAAAATTGACTTTGAGATGCTCAGAAACATAACTCAAAGTGGGATGTTTCACATCCATGAGGTGAACCTTTTCATTTTATTGTCTCTAATCAGACCACAGACATTAAATGATATAAAACAGGGATAAGCCAGATCTCCTCATGTATGGGCCACCTTGGCTCTGAGACTGAGAGTACAAATTTCACTTTTCAACTCTTTTTTTGTTAAAAATATGCTTTTTAATTACCCTTTAATTCAAATGTGTCCATATTTAGGCAGCCTTAGAGACAGCTGATCATTTTTGCATCAGAACAAGGAGCTATAAACCATTCACATATTTGATCCAGCCAGAGGATGTTTCATGTTTATATCTTTAAGCTTTTATCCATCCATCCATCCATTTTCTGCTACTTATCCAGAGTCGGGTCCCCCCCCCCCCCCCCCCCAACATGTCCTGGATCTCCCTTTATGTCTCCTTGGTTGGACGTGCCCAGAAAACCTCACCAGGGAGGCATAGGAGGCATCCTAATAAGATGCCTGAGCCACCTCACCTGGCTCCTCTCGATGTGGAGGAGCAGCGGGTCTACTCCAAGCCCCTCCTGGATGAAAGAGCTTCTCACCCCATCTCTAAGGGAGAAAACTCATTTCGGCCGCTTGTATCCGTGACCTCATTCTTTCGGTCACTACCCAAAGCTCCTGACCACAGATGAGGGTAGGAACGTAGATTGACCAGTAAATCTAGAATTTTGCCTCCTGACTCAGCTCTCTTTTCACCACGACAGACCGGTACAACGCCTGCATCACTGCAGATGCAGCACCAATCTCGTGCTCCAGGTTTCCCTCACTCATGAACAAGACCCTGAGAGACCCCTCCACTTGAGCAGGACCTCATCCCTGACCTGGAGAAGGCATTCTACCCTTTTCCGACTCTAGACCATGGTCTCGGATTTAGAGGAGCTGATTCTCATCCCAGCTGCTTCACACTCGGCTGCGAACTGCTCCCGTAAAAGCCGAAGATCACGTTCTGATGAAGCCAGCAGAACCACATCATCTGCAAAAAGCAGAGACCCGAACCAGGGCACCAAAACTGATCCCCTCAACACCATGGCTGCGCCTGGAAATCCTGTCCATAAAAATAATGAACAGAATCGGTGACAAAGGGCAGCCTTGGTGGAGTCCAACACTCACAGAGAACGAGCCCAACTTACTGCCGGCAATGCGGACCAAGCACTGACAGGGTGAGGGTTAGGGTCATACGGGGACCTAACAGCCCGTATCAGAGGGCATGATACCCCATGAGGTATCCCCCACAGGACCCCCAAAAGGAACTCGGTTGAATTCCTTCTTGGAATCCACAAAGCACATGTAGATTCGTTGTTCAAATTCCCACACACCCTCCAGGACCATCCTAAAGGTATAGAGCTGGTTCAGTGTTCCACAGTCAGGACGAAAACCACATTACTACTCCTGAATCTGAGGCTCAACAATCCCGACGGACCCTCCTCTCCAGAACGCCTCAATAGACCTAACCAGGCAGGCTCAGGAGTGTGATCCTTAAGCTTTCATTGTGAGTAAATGTTTTAAGTTTCCTCATTTTGGATTAAAACCTCAGACATGAAAAATTAATTGTTTGAAAATAAAAATTATAAAGTTTAAACAGAAATTGTCTTAAAATAAAAATGATGTTCCAATAATAGGTGCAAATGTAAGATTTTAATTTACTGCAAGAAGACAGCGTGTTCTTTAAGGGGTTAATGTTGCACAATACAAGAAGAATTTGTGCCTGAATAAAAGTAGAGCATCGTTTCCGCCTGTTCAAGTAGGGAAACTCCGCCTCGCCGCTTCCAGCCGGATCGCACGCCGTCTGATGGGTAAGGATTAGACCCGCGCATTGACGCAAAATTCGGGTTTGCGTCTGCACGCTTCGCTCAGAAATCCTGTCCAAACCAACGTATTTTGGCTATCTAGTTGTCTCAAGTGGAGGAAACATAAGTTGTCCCAACTTGTTCGGAAGGAGGAGACGCAGACACGCGCCGAGCTGACCGGACAGGAAGTAACAGGTTGCAAACATTCAACCAAAGTGCGCATAAAATGAGTAGAAGTGGAGATGATACGGGTTAAAATAGTCAATATATGAAGTGACATTCTATCAAAGCACCAGACAGTAACGTTTTTTTCAGTTAATCTGTGTAATATAAACAGTATTTATGTCCAAATCGCTCTAATATTGCTTATGGGGTGCACCTGGTTGACGTATTGTCAATATTTTGTCGGAAATAAAAGTTCCATGAGGTAAATTTGCACTAATTTGTTTGTAAAGTAAAATGTCCTCCGTGGACACTGCTTCTTCTATAAACTTAAACATGCTTTTATTTTGTAAGGGGACAAGGTAGGTATATATATATATATATATATATATATATATATATATATATATATATATATATATATATATATATATATATATATATATATATATATATATATCAAGTTATTAAATGTTATTTCCAACATAAATTATTTTATTATATTTTAACAAATATTACATATAAATGCTGTTTCTTTGCCATTCCAATATGTCAGCCATGTCTTTTCAAGCATCAGTATTTAACAGTGCATTATATTTTTTATATTACAGCCTAAATAAAAGGAGAAAAGTCATTCCTTCCCTGTCACTTTGTCTGAAACGGCTTTCATAACACTGATTGCTGTATTGTTGTGTTTATGTTAATGCATTTCACAGACGCATTTGTCCAAAGCAACTTACAGATGCAGATTGCATGCTACAGAAACGTAGTATTTAAATGCATTTTTCTTTAATTTCAGACATGCCACTCAACATCCAGCCCCTAAGAGTCATGAGAAAATCAACGCTTAAGAGGATCATCCTTGTTCTGCTGGGGATTTGTGTGGTGTGGTGCATGAGTTTGCCTTTTTTCATCCTGGTATGTTTCCTCACTTATTCATTAATACTTTTAACGTTGTACACCTATAGGCAACATTCTTAGAAATCCTATAACAGTAAAAAAAAAATACACCCGAAAATAAGTTCACTCATGTTGTTTTAGAGTAAAGTTGGACATGAGAGCATCCGTGTGGCTGCAGAAAACACACTGATGCAGAAAAGGAAAGTGTGGACAGAAACCAGCGAGGTCCAAGGTGAGAAAAGAGCATGAGGAGATAATGAGATGGGTTAGGTAAAAGGCAAAGGGACTGGTAACAACTCAAGATTTGTCTTTTTGTGTAAGGAAGTAATCAAAGCAAATGCAAGCTAAACCACTCACTTGCTTACCTTCCTAAGTTGCGACAATTCACCAGTGGTGGTCAAATGATTAGAGACTGATTAAGCATATTTAAGTGCTTTATTTTTGCATGAGAACAAGCTGCATTTAGTTTTGTTCATTTGGTAGCAGAGTTTTCCAAAAACAAAGGAGATTTTTAGTGAAAATGTAAGATTTGAATCCACTCAAATTAGTTTTCATTTGCATGGTTTTGATTTTTAACTCAGGAAAAGCTATTTTTTTGTATTTCTAAGTGTATTTTTAACATTTTGAATACAACTTAAACATTTTACCTTCTTTCTTTTTCAGAAATGAAGAGGATTTTTGTCAAATTTTTGGATGATCTGCTGAATAATTTTGAATCCTTTAACTGTAAGAACAGCACACGTGTCACCATGCAACAAAATACTAATTAGCGGAAATCCATATTTTATATCCTCAGGTTAACTTTGTTTGGATTTACACGGAGAAGAACAATAACATTTTCACTCAAAGGTTTCTTTCACACTTAGCAGAAACAAGGGGGAATTTGAAACTGACCTACAATCGTATAAATTCCAAGGTACCATTTTCGAACATCTGGCTAAAGCTGGGCGTACACTGTGCGACTTTTTCACTTTTTTGAGCCGATTTTCCAGTCGTGCGAGAAGCGACGACATCGGGGCGAGTTTTGCGCCGAGCGGTCGTGTAGTGTACAGGGGGTTACGAGAGGCGATTAACACCACGTGACCAGCCGCCGATCAGCAGTCGTGAGGTCGCAGGGACTTCTGGTGTGTTTAATATTTCGCTCGTCCCTCGTGAGGGTATCGCACTGTTGAAGCGGCGCTGCAAGCAGCTACGATCCCAAAAAGTATCAGAACCGCTCACGGCGCATGCGCGCGCAAACCTGCATCAACGCCGGTCGCTCGCTATTTCCCTAATAACACACGCTGTTCGTTTTTGTTTCTACACGTTTTTTTACTCACAAAGATTGTCAAGAAGGCGTGTTTGTCGTGTTCATGTCAAATTAAACTGATCACAAAACACAGATTTACTTTCTTTATTTGGTTTTCCTCATCCAACCCCCATAAATCCCTGTTTGTCCTCCTGCAGCACTCCCGAAGGACAACAGGCAAGACAAAAAAGTCTGACGTGTTGAGTAAAAACTGCTATTTTTAGCACATTTTTTGGGCCGACGTGTTGCTACCAGACGTACAGTGTGAGCAGTCAGGTCGCATGCGAGAACTGGGTCGTACAGTGTGAGCACACGACTCGTGAGATCTGCTCTGCGAGGAAGTCGTACAGTTTGAGCTGAAGCTGAACGCTGCGAGTGAAAAAGTCGCACAGTGTACGCCCGGCTTAACTCCTACATTTTCTCCCAGGAACGTAAATTTTACCAAGTGACTTGTTAAGCCGGACATTATCAGGACTTGGTCTGTCTTACCTCAACCTGCCACTAACTGACTCATTCTGGAAGATTCCAGGATTTAGCCTTTATCAAAACCCTGGTATTTTTCTGTTTATCTATAATCAAAGATGGTGTTTAGATTGTTTACCCTTAAAATAGAAATCAAGGTGCTCTAAGTTAAAATCTTATCCGTTACAAGCCTAACTGCTGGTTTTGTGTTTTGTCTTTTATGTTAAACCTCTGCCAATTTTTGCTTCTCCAGTTAAAATTCATGCTAATGGTAAAACTGTTCAGTTTTAAGACATGAATTTTATTCTTTTCCATTTAAAGTAATACTTTGATGCCAAAGTAATAATTTTTGAGGCGTTATATGAATAACTGTTAAATTGTGATCATGGACTTTCCATCTTTGAGAAGGTAGTTTATTTGAAAGAGCCACAGTGCCATCCAGTGTCTAGTGGTTAATGAGTGAAATACATGTGGGTGTGACCCAGAAAGTTATAAAGCCACAGTGCAAACCTCGTGTCCGCAGAGTGATAACAAAGAAGAAAGATGCCTTAAACGAACCTCTGCTGGGCTTTTCCATCTGGTCCCAGCAACAACCGTGCTTTACAGTTGTCAAGTAATTAGCTCTCAAAAGTTACTGTAAAACTTAGAAGCAACTCCGTTTGTTTTGTTTTGACTTCCTACGTGAAACCGGAAGTCTGCGTGTTCGTTTGAGTTCTCACATCGAGTTAAAACTAATTTGGAGCAGTTTTTCTGATTCAGCATCGGTTTTGATAATTTGGACTCGCGCTCTGAATTCCACATTCTCGGTGCAGCTGAAGTGAAGAAACCTTATAGTCCAGCCACTCCGGGGGAACGAGATTCTCCTGAACTCAACAGACTCCGTTGACCAACTCGGGGCCAAAATCTTACAGTCCCAGAAGCCTCTTCGTGAGCAAGGACTCCCAAGGCTATCTCAGCCCTTTGGCCACCCTCTGGCGACGAGAAGAAAGGTCTGTGAATCATTTTCATCTGGCTGAGTTTTTCTGCTAAGTTCGATTAGTGAATTCAGACTTAAGCTTTTATGGTGTGTGTGTGTGTTATTTCAATCCAAACTCCCGTTTAGCACTCAAGATTTATCTTCTTTCTCTGCCTCAACGAATCCTTATTGACACACACACACACACACACACACACACACACACACACACACACACACACACCAACCAACCAACATGAACATTTCACTTTGTCCCCCTTTAGAAATTATTTCCAATTTTTCTATAATCCTGGTGTCACCGAATTTCCACTTTTATTACGGATCAGTTATTTCCTATCACTGCCACAAAGCTTTGGGTTAACACTTTTCTTAAATCCATGCATGAAACTATAAGCTGTGCTTGGTCCTTTTGTCAATGTATTAACTGATGTTGTAATAAATTCACAAAACTTAAATAACGCCTGATCATTGCAAGTCTCTGGAATAATCGGCACATTCTGTCAAGAATTCATCCTTTAGATCAATCTGTGGTGTAAACTCTGAGACGGATTTAATATCTATATCTTCGCAATGTAATCAAACGGTCCAGTTCCGAAAACTGCTCGTGCCCCGATTAATTAATAGAAGATTATAAACAAGCTAAATCTATGCCACATTTGAAATATAGATATAAATCTGTATTTATCGCCACAACTATTACCTAGTTTTGTATTCACTGAAACATCATTTATTGGTTAAAATGTGACAAAGAACCTGCAAAAAAGTGTGAAATCCCATTTATTATTTCTTTTGTTCACATTTGTACTTGGTTGTGTGGAGAAGACAGATTTTAGGAGAGCTCATGTCTTATTAGGAAAAGCAAATCCTCCTGATTGGCCTGGGGATGAATACATCAGAAGAGATCAACTAATGTGTGTAAACAGAGTAGTGAAATGCCCCAAATTAACTGACTTCTGCATGCTTGATGTTGTCAGCTACAAGTGCTGTACTGAATAAATTAGCAGATCTACACTGCATTCTATAGTTATGCTGTCATCACCAGTTTTTAAAGAATATGTTATGTTTTATCACCACAAAATTTAAAATATTTGTAAAAATAAATATCAAAACATAATAAAACATACCTTACCACCCCTTTCTCAATCTTCTAGTCTCTTCATCACATTTCAAGGACAACAAAGAGAAACTTCAATCCCTTCAGGTGGAAATGGAGGCTGAGAAAGCGAAAGGTCAGTCTAAGGATGAGATGATAAAAGAGCTGCGTTCTGATAAACTCCAGCTGCTGCAACAAGTGACCCGCTTGGAGGAGCTTCTGAAATTACAAATGAACAAGGCGGAAACAAAGTCTGGTAAGGTTTTGATCATTTGAGAAGTTGTCATCAGATGTACAAAAGACAGAAAACTGGTTTTCCTTCATGCATTTGAGCACAAAGAATAAACTAATATAGAAATAAAGTCTATAGGTTTCAATTCATTCCATATTTTTATTAATTTTAACATTAAAACTATCGAGTCCTACAGCTGTAAGGTGACTAGATCGATTTGATTGGCTGCTCTTGACTTCAGAGTTCCATTTAGTCGGTTTCTAAATTTAAACTGTAAATCATTAAAAAAAACACATAATTACAATCAAAATAAAATGGAAAATAACGATCTGGTCCATCGTTGAGTACCTGCTCCACTTCGTCATTATGAACAACAGGGAGTTTATGAGTCCTGCAGTGAACCCATTAGGATCTCTTTGCTTGTCTTTTCAAGAGCGTTATGATTAGCCCACTTAACTACTCTGTTCACAGCACATTTGCACGGTGCAGATATATATTTTACCGTCAGTTTGATTTTGAGTTGGATGTATTTATGGGGATTTTTTTATTATGGCTGAGAAAGAGCAGAGCTCTTATGGAAGAAGGCCTAAATGCCCACCTACACATAATACATGAGCAATGATGATTTTTATATTAGTGGTTGACTGACTTTGGAGATAAACTATCTTGAACAGGAAAGTTGTGAAATGAAGATTTTGACCTGCTTTCCTCTAATAACTTGTTTCTTATGATTTATGAGTGGACAAAAAAGGATATACTTGATGCAAATGAACCACACTGTTATATGGGACAATGACCTGAAGGAATAAATTCAGGTAACACATTTAGGAATGAGTGACTATCGAGGGCAGTGCTCCACATTTGACTCCTTTCAAAATGGCCAAGAGGTACGTAGTTACCGTTTACGGTCCGTGAGCCTGCAGGGATGCAGCGTCTGCTTTTGTAATTCAACACTGGTTGGAAAAATGCTGTAGCGTTTTATAAAGATCCTAAAGCCTCCTTTCCACCAGACATGAAAATGGCGTGTAAATAATAGCTGAGTTTTACTCGAGATTCCTTCCAACCGGGAGGGTTTCAGATGCAAAAAGTATTCCCGCTGCTGGTCCTGCAATGTCACAAAATCACAGAAATGCAACATCACCCGTGATTTCAGAAGTCCACACAATAACAAGCAAGGACGAGAACAGTTTAATGTATTCAAAGATCTAGTGGTTTATTTTCCATTCTGTATACATCAGCTACGGCGGTTTTACAGGAAATGATGCGTTTTTATCTGCTTGTGACTTTTATTTTGACTGTTTTATACTCACTTCCTGTTTGACTTCCTGTTTGGCCTGATCTAAACTGCAGAGTTTGACATGTTTTGGAAGTGCAGAGCGTAAAAGACTCGAAACATAATGATGGCATCTCTTCACTTCTGTGACGTGTCCAAAACGTTACACTTTGCTGTCGGTGGAAAGTAACCTGTCCACTATAACATCGGCTAAATGCCACAGAGTACGTTTCATCCGGTGGAAAGGAGGCTTAAGCCAATAAAGGGAGCGACCTTAAAGTTATTTAATGTACCTCTAAGAATCCATGACATCTTTTTGTTTTACTCTAAGAGTGAAACAGGCTAGAGGGTAACGTTGATCTAACATTGAGCTAACAATGCTAATGGTGAATTAGTGTGCTCTAAAAATATTTACAGGTATTTTTTCACTCACGAAAAACTCGATAATGGCCTAGTGGTAGAGTGTCCGCCCTGAAACTGGGAGATCAGGGGTTCGACTCCTGCTCGGGTCATACCAAAGACTTTGAAAAAAATGGGACCCAATGCCTCCCTGCTTGACACTCAGCATTAAGGGGTTGGATTGGGGGGTTAAACCACCAAATGGTTCCCGAGCACGGCTTGTCTGCAGCTCACCGCTCCCCCAGGGGATGGGTCAAATGCGGAGAATAAATTTTGCACACACACCTGTGTGTGTGACAACTAATGGGACTTTAACTTTTTTATCTACTTGTCAACTCACTGTGTATGAAACATCTTCGCTTGTCATCTAGAATTACCGGGCGGTTAGCCGTAGCTGCCAGCAGCCATCAAACTCACGGAATGATAGTGAGTCACTTGTGAGTGACCCTCGTCTCCGCCCTCTCCTTATTCCACCTTTCACAGGATCCAGTGATTTCACTTTCCTATTCATTTTCTCTCTCCCTTTACACTTTTAATCACAATTTTTATTTGTTATTTTAAACATATATAATTTGAAATCTTTTTAATATCAACTTTTTTGTTATTGTGGAGTGCCTCGTGATTTTTATCTTGAGGTGCTAAATAAAAGAAGCAGTACCCAAATATGTCCACAAGATGCCATTCTTACATAGTGCACCTTTAAACAAAGCCAAAGAACGACAAAGCAATAAATTTGCTGCCATTTATGTTTCTCTAAGAGGATGAAATCCCAGAAGATAAAAACTGCCAGCTACCACGCATGGATGGATTTCCAGACTGTATGGGGAAGCTGAAGGTAAGAGAATTCACTCAATATGACAAAAATAAACTTCCACTGAACTCATGTGATATTAACAAGAGGTTGTGTGTTTCTGGTACACCAGTGGATGAACAGCATGTGGAAGTCAGACCCATGTTACAGCAGCTATGGCGTGAATGGGTCCTTGTGCTCCTTCATCGTTTATCTCAGCGAGGTACCCAGCTGGTCTTTAAGCTCACAAATTTCATAATCTGATCCAGAATCAGAGATTTCACAGCTAACAAAATGACATTTTTTTAAAGACGTATTGCTCATGTTAAACGGTAATTCTTGCAGTTTTAGTTTGAATTATTTAACGCATCTGTTTTGCATAAAGATCGAGTCATGGTGCCCTTTGCTTTCTGGTCGAGTCGCCCGCCCAGCAGTGAAAACTCTAAAGGTACGGTTTCATTAAATGTTGTGGTGTGTTTTCTGGTCACTTTAAAGCCTTGTGTTTTCAGAAATATCCACAAATTCCCACGGTTTCTCTTTCAGTCTTTGGCCACATAAAAAATGCTTTCAAATGTCTTCATGAAATCAGAGAATCGACTTATATTGCACTGCTGACATTCATAATAATCAGCTTTTCTGCAATTTTGTGTTTCAAAACACATAATTTGTTTAGGAATTGATTGGTTTTCCATTTTCACAGGTAGAATCTTATAAAGCAGAGGTGAAAGACAACTTTGAAGGCCTTCACCGCTCTTTAGTGAACAAAACCCAATTCAGCTGGATCCAACAACGGATTAAAAGCATGGAAGAGATTTGGGTGGAAGCAGGACGTTCCCTTTCACAGAAATACAACCTCACAGAGCGGAGGGCCAAACAGGTGAGTTTGTGGGAGTTCCTGTTTCTGCCTCTGCCTTGGTTTATTTTGACATTTTAGACTTTTTGTGTGTCAACAAGTTAACAAGCCTTGAGTTTAATGTGTTCATGCAACATGAACAGGTGTTTCATTTCTTGTTTAAAAGCCAACCTTTGGCATGCAAATGCAATCTTGAGAGCAGACGTTACTGACTGTGAAACTGGAGGCCAGTCACACGAGTCTTCTCTATGGGAAGACTCTTTGGGAATATTTGGGAATTTAGAAAAAAACATTTTTTTTTTTGTTACTTTTTATTTTGATTTTGACATTGTACAACTTGGTTTAACAACCCTGGCGTTGAGCAGGACAATCACAAAAGCAAAAAGAAACAAATAAGTAAATTAATTATTTTTAAACAAATAAATAAATAAAGGAGAAAAAAAAATTCTATAAAGAATAGAAATACAATCATTTAGTTTCATCGTTAAGATTAAGTTTTCCACGTTGACATCAGAGTAGACAACAGACAAAACAACAACCCAATACGTCACATTGCTAAGTATTGCTCGACACACTCCCATCTATCCCGGACAATGTTTTATATAAAAACCCAAAATCAACAGTAAGAATAAATGGTTATTGTTCAAAATTTTTTAAGGTAGAAAGAGGGGTGAGGCAGGGAGATTCGTTATCACCTGTACTTTTTGCCTTGAGTATTGAACCACTGGCAGAGATAATCCGCCAGAACAAGCTGATTCAGGGAATAAGAGATGGAGAAGGGACAGTCCACAAAATTGCTTTGTTTGCAGATGATATCTTACTTTTTATAAAAAATCCAAAAACATCAGTACCAGCATTGCTTAACAATCTAGATACTTATGCAGAAATCTCAGGATATAAAATTAATCAAAATAAATCAGAAGTAATGATGGTTATGGGGGACTGGCCAAAAGAACTAAATAAAACGGTATGCTTTCATAGGACTAATAAAGGGCTTAGATACCTAGGGATAGTGCTGACACCCCAACCTACAGCTCTGTTTGAAGCAAATTACACCAGACTAATCAAACAGGTCAAGGCGGACCTGACCCGATGGACGATTCTCCCTCTATCTCTATTTGGCAGGATTGAGACAATTAAGATGAATGTTCTACCACGCTTTCTCTTTTTGTTCCAATCCCTTCCTATAAGAATCCCCGCTCCAATATTTAAGACTCTGAACAAAATGATCTCTCAATTTATATGGCAACATAAAAAACCAAGGGTAAGGCTTAAGACACTTCAGCTGCCAAAAGAGAAAGGGGGACTAGCAGTGCCTAACTTGAAATATTATTACTGGGCAGCCCAATTAACAGCGATAGTTCACTGGCTGGAGGGAGATAGGGACCTAATATGGAACCAGATAGAACAAGGCGAAATTAAAGGTACGGAACTGACAGTTTTACCATTCCTTAACCCAAAAGATATCCAGAAATTAAAAGTGGACAACATAATCATAAAACATACTTTGAGGGTCTGGAGGGAAGTAAAGAAAATGCTGAACGACAAGGGTTCTATTTCCCGGGCCATGCCAATACTGGATAGCATCGGGTTCCCCCCATCCAAATTAGACTCGGGGTTTAAAAAATGGGCGAATAAGGGTCTTATAATTCTGGACCAGTTGTTTGGAGAAACAGAGCTTAAAACATTCTCGCAAATTAGGGAACAATTCGACCTCCCCATGAACGACATGTATAAATATTTTCAGATAAGGCATTATATCATGAATCATAGAGAGAAAGAAAGACTTTATAAACAGCCAAATGCAATAGAACAATATTTTATTTCACGCATAGGAAAAAAATCCCAAGTAAAAGGCTATGTTACTAATTTATATAGAAGCTTCTTACTTAGCTCTACACATAATACGAAATATATAAAGGAGAAATGGGAACTAGAATTAAATATACTAATTGAAGATGAACAGTGGGAAGATGTATGTAGACAAACTCATAGGGGGATCAACAGCCAAATGTGGAAGGAATTTGATTGGCAGATAAAAACTAGGTACTTTTTTACCCCCTTAGTTGTATCAGGGTTTGCAAAAGATGACCTGTCCCCACTTTGCTGGAGGAACTGTGGGGAGGTGGGGGACCACTCTCATATATTCTGGAACTGCCCAGTTATTCTTAAATATTGGAAAGACATAAAGGAAGAGTTGGAAAAAATCCTGGGAAAGGAGCTACCTTCACATCCTTTGTTCTATCTGTTGGGGGCTACATCAAATAAAATATTAAACTTAGACCAAAGTTATATCGCCCATATTCTATTATTGGCTGCAAAGAAAATTATAACAGTAAAATGGAAGGAGGTGAACTCCCCAACTATAAAGGAATGGAAAGAGAGAATTAAACAAATATACATAATGGAAAAGATGACATCTATATTGCAAATGAAGGTGGATCGGTTCCGGGAAAAAAACATTTTAAATTTAGTCGAGGAAAAAAATAAGAGGAGGAGCTGCAAAAATGTTTTTAATGCCAGAAACCAATAAGTCGTGAGATAAGGATTCAATATCTGCATGGAATGATGTTTTATTATTCTGAAAACAAAACCATCTTCATTACTCGTTTAATTGTTTGTTTATTTATTTAGCAGACGCTTTTATCCAAAGCGACTCACAATTTATAACCTGTAGGGCATGTTGTGATCTGTGGGGGAAACCGGAGTACCCGGAGGAAATCCACGCATACATGGGGAGAACACGCAACTTCACTCAGAAAGGCCACAGCCGAGCCGAGTTTTGAACCTGCAACCTTCGTGCTGCGAGGCAACAGTGCTAACCACTGCGCCACCATGCAGCCCATGGTTAATTGGCACAATCATTTAATCAGTGTCCATAGAATAGTTTTAAATATTTAATCGGGCCAAACCTAGGAATGATTCTTCAGACTGCTTCTTTTCAGCACACCAGAACCTTATTTAGTTGTTTAAAATGGTTTACGTCCAGCTTCTCTGGGTGGAAATCAGTCCTCGTAGTTTTCTTAAAAGGGTACTATACTCATTTTTTGAGCCAGTATGTGCTAAAATGACCATTTGCAGGGTTGATGAAAAAAATCACTCAAACCCCCACCACATTAGAGCATCGCACTTTGAGCTAACGTACCTGGCATTGTAGTCTGATTCCAGCACGTTTCCTGCATGTTTTAGATCACGAACATACCCATTTTGCTTGATTTAGTGATGCATTACTCCTGTAGATACAAATGAAGGCAGAGAAGACATTTCAGTAGTTAGATTAAGGTGTTAAAAGGTGATTAAAAACAGTTTAACCAGAGAGAATTCATAACAGACACTAGGGGGTGCTGCAAGCAAAACTGCCAAGTGTACCTCAAGTTCTCACAAATATCCGCTTGTTTTTTGCCCGGGTTTCACACTGGAAGCATCAAGCGGCACAGAACGTTTTATCCACAAGCTTTAATGCGGTTCATTACACACCGGGAGTCTTGGCCAAGGAATGACTCGCGAGATCACAAAATCCTTTGAGACTTCAAAGGTCACTGTTTGTTTATGCAATCTGCCATTAAACCAAAAAAAAGGACACCACGTTTGATCATTGCCATTTGATGTCAAATGATTTTGTTCTGCTCCACTGCCCGGATTAAAGCCGTGCACTTCTCAAACAATACTGGGAGGGAACAAGCCATTACACTTAAGCTTCATATATATAAAATTGCAAAGCTGCAGTACTTTTATTTTGGAAATTACCAGGGAGTTTACTCAAAACCGTGTGTGATTTCCTGTCTAGCCCTTTGTTAACTGTGGAAAGTGGCGTGTCCCAGAAGTGGCTTGTGGCAAAAATAGAACCCAAGCCCAACTTTAGCAGCACAGCGTGCCACTCCTGGGACTCGCCTGAAAATAAAATAATGGATTCCATTTGAAGCAGCGACATTCTGCTGTCGTTCCCCGCCGCTGATGCTTTCCATGTGAAATAGCGGTTACTCCATTTTAATTTTATAAGCAAATCTCCCATTTCTTACACTTCAAAGGCCTTTGGTCTAACAGTTTAGACACTGTTGGATTAAAACCAATATTTCTTTTCAAATTGTGATAATTAGCTTTTACTATTTTTCTTTGCTTCTGTTTTCAGCTGTCTTGCTGTTTTTTTTTCTATTTGTGCAAGATCTTATTAAAGTTTGCAAACACTGTTTAATTCAGTTTAGATTTATTTAAATACTTAATTTTGTGCAAGACATAAATTAAAAAAGTTACTTTTACATTTTCATTGTTTTATGCAACACTTTTTCTTTGAAATATAAGTTTTCTCAAATACACTCAACAAAATATAAACGCAACACCTTTGTTTCTACTCTGATTTTTCATGAGATGGACTTAAAGATCTAAAATTCATTCCAGATACACAATATTACCATTTCTCTCAAACATTGTTCACAAATCAGTCTAAATGTGTGATAGTGAGCACTTCTGCTTTGCTGAGATAATCCATCCCACCTCACAGGTGTGCCACATCAAGATGCTGAACCGACATCATGAGTAGTGCACAGGTGTACCTTATACTGCCCACAATAAAAGGCCACAGTTTTGTCTCACAGCAAAATGCCTCACAACCGCAGACAACGTGTAACCACTCCAGCCCAGGACCTCCACTTCCAGCAGGTTCACCTCCAAGATCGTCTGAGACCAGCCACTCAGACAGCTGCTGAAACATTTGGTTTGCATAACCAAACGATTTCTACACAAACTGTCAGAAACAGTCTCAGGGAAGCTCAACTGCATGCTCGTCATCCTCATCGGGGTCTTGACCTGACTCCAGCTCGTGACCGTAACAGACTTGAGTGGGCAAATGCTCACATTCGATGGCGTCTGGCACATTGGAGAGGTGTTCTCTTCACGGGTGAATCTCGGTTTACATTGTTCAGGGCAGATGGCAGACAGCGTGTGTGGCATCGTGTGGGTGAGTGCTTTGCTGATGTCAGTGTTGTGGATCGAGTGGCCCATGGTGGTGGTGGGGTTATGGTATGGACAGGCATCTGTTATGGACAAGGAACACAGGTGCATTTTATTGATGGCATTTTGAATGCACAGAGATACCGTGATGAGATCCTGAGGCCCATTGTTGTGCCGTACATCCATGGACATCACCTCATGTTTCAGCAAGATAATGCACGGCCCCATGTTGCAAGGATCTGTACACAATTCTTGGAAGCTGAAAATGTCCCAGTTCTTGCATGGCCAGCATACTCACCGGACATGTCACCCATTGAGCATGTTTGGAATGTGCTTGACCGGCGTGGACGACAGCGTGTACCAGTTCCCACTAATATCCAACAACTTTGCACAGCCATTGAAGAGGAGTGGACCAACATTCCACAGGCCACAATTGACAATCTGATAAACTCTATGCGAAGAAGATGTGTTGCACTGCATGAGGCAAATGGTGGTCACACCAGATACTGACCGGTTCTGAGTCCCCAGACCCCCAACAAAGCAAAAAACTGCACATTCCAGGGTGGCCTTTTATTGTGGGCAGTATAAGGTACACCTGTGCACTACTCATGATGTCAGATCAGCATCTTGATGTGGCACACCTGTGAGGTGGGATGGATTATCTCAGTAAAGCACAGGTGCTCACTATCACACATTTAGACTGATTTGTGAACAATGTTTGAGAGAAATGGTAATATTGTGTATCTGGAATGAATTTTAGATCTTTAAGTCCATCTCATGAAAAATCGGAGCAGAAAGAAAGGTGTTGCGTTTATATTTTTGTTGAGTGTAAATCCAAGTTTCACTAAAAGTCTAAATTGAATTATGCAGCGTCTTAATTTATTTCACCTCCATAGCAAATTTAATTTAATGCAAGCTTCTTTATTGTCATGCTTGCCAATAGTCATGATTAGACTGGAAATGAATTAGAAGTTATTTTTGTATCATTTGTTAATCCACTCAGTTTTCTAATTATTTTTATTCATCCAATTTTTACATTTACATTGTTACTATGCTCTTTTTTTATTGTCTCTCCATTTTAATTTTAGTTTCTATTGATACCAAATGTAAGAAATCACTGAATATTGATTTTCTCTCTATAAAAACACAGAATAAAATTGAGCAAATGGTTGTTTTCTTTGTAGGAAATGAGTCATCCAACACTGTCACTTGTCCCTCAGGTGCTTTAAAGTCTTGGCATTAAAATAAGAAACCAAAGATGTTATGAGATTTCAAAGCAGCCCCATAAACCATCTTTTATCCCCCACCCCCTCCTCAGATACTGGTGCATCCTGGCGTGATTACAAATGAAGCAGATCTTAAAATAGCAGAGAATGCTTTCAGTGGTGGTCCCCTTGGGGAGCTCGTTCAGTGGAGCGACCTTATATCCACACTTCATATTTTGGGTCACAATCTTCACCTGTCTGCCTCTGAAGGGAGCCTGAAGGAGTGAGTAAACACACCTGTCCTCAGGCGTTTTATATTCACAATCAGTCCCTATGGAGACAAATCAAGTACAAGTGACAAATTATTTACACTTATAGCACAAACAACTTTTTTTCATGAGTTTGTCAATCTGTCCAGGTTTTTTGGGATTAGTAATTGTCCTCTTCAATACTCAAAAGTGGAACCAAACCTGATCTATACAGACATCATTGGTCTCAGGCAAATTCAGACGGTACTGAAGACGTCCTGGACAGATTACAGGTAAGTTGTGCAATCTGACTCTGGTGTTTTAAATCATTGTGTGAACATGCGCCTGTGTTACGACCGGTGATGGTAAAAAGAGGAAAAACCATGACCAAAGGTCATTAAGCAAAATGATATGTATGGAGCACTGCTCTACCAGGCTATTAATTAACTGAGAAAGACTAAAAACACTAAAGAACTTCCACTCCAAGATAAATCTTATAAGTAACTCAAACTAATAAAAGGTAATCCAAGTCTCAACAAAAGGGTTTTTTAGTCTACTAGTAAACAAAATGAGCTAAATATACAACTAAACTAAGCTCTCAGCCAAACAACTTAATCAACATGTGTTTCACTCAAGCCCCCACAATGCGGCTCTAAAATTGGTCTCAACCCGGAAGTACCAAAAAGTGCAGTTCCACCCTCATCCACTAGGGGCTGGTGTCAGAAGCGAGCAAATCCTCATTAACTCCCATGTTAAAAATACCAATTTCACAGCAGAAATAAACATGTTTACAGCCTGGTACCAAAACATGTTTTTTGTTTAAATGATCTAGTTTACACTCATGACAACTCTGAGGGGGGTGAATTTTTTTTCTCACTCTTCTGTTTAAGTGTATTAAAAGCCTAAAATTCTGTATAATTAAAGAGCATCTGACCCACGTGACCACAGAGCTAGCTCCGTGGAAAGGCCTCAGTAGAGCCTCGGTCTGGCCTGGAAACTGTTCCGGGATTTTGAGTCTCTGTGTTTGTGTATTCTTGTTTGGATACTTTTTGTGCAATTGTTGGACAAAATGACTTGCTGTGGCATTAATTGCACTAATAGAGCGTCCAAGGAGTCTCCACTTCATTTTTTTTGGTGAGTAAAATTATATTTATGTATTTTAGGTCACTGCCGAGCTGAGCTTAGATTTTAACATGTACTGTTTAACCATGAAATTTAAACGTAATAGGGTAAACCCCAGTGCATTTAACATAATGCTGCACTTTAGAAAATGGGTTGAAAAATAACACGTTGGTGGAGCTGGGTTCTGACTATCGGCTTGTGGAGCTCTCGGGAGACCGACGTTTTCCACCCGTTCCCCCCCCCCCCCCCCCCCCCCCCCCCGCAGCCCGGTGCATCTCTGTCTGATCGCGGCTTCTGTCTGCTGCGCGGGCTGACGGCTTGTGGAGCTCTGGGATGGAAACCTTTCCATCCGGTTCTCCCCAGCGGCAGCTCTGCGCATCTCAGATCGCAGCGGCGCTTGTCTGCTGTGCGGCTGCCGGCTTGTGGAGCTCTCGGGAGACCTGTGTTCCACCCGGTTTTACCCAGCGGTCAGCCCGGCGTATCTCTGACTCAGGCCTAGTCCACACGTAGCCGGGCTTTTTAAAAAGGAATATCCGCCCCTCCAAAAACTTGCATCCACACCACCGCGTTTTAAAAACAAACTCTGTCCACACGTACCCGGATAAATACGTTGTTAAGGACATGCCAGACCTGTAGGCGGCAGTACTTCCCCCGTTCTTAACCTCGTCCTTCGTCTGTGGTCTTCCGCAGGGAGCAGTAATTCCGCTTGCAAAAACAAACAAGCAAAAAGCGCTTGGACAGTTGATAAAGCGAGCGCAGCTCTGAGGGCATCCATGCTGTCGGCTAGTGTAAACACAGGTCGCACACGTGATGTCAGCATTTTTCTGTCGCGGAAAGTGACGTTGAAGACCTTAAAACTCCGGATTTGTCCGTCCACACGCAGACACCCAAAACGGAGAAAACGCAGATCTTCACTTTGGCCGGAGTTTTTGAAAAGGTTCGTTTTCGTGTGGATGATAGGCCAAAACGTAGAAAAATATCTACGTTTTGGCAGATCCCCGGCTACGTGTGGACAGGGCCTCAGAAGCTCTGGTGTTGTGCACAGTTAACTCCAGTTGTAGCTAGGTTGCTACTTCCGTTAGCTTAGCTCCCACCTCCGCATTAGCTTTGGGTTAGCTTCAGGTTAGCTTGTAGCTAGTTCAACCGGGTGTCGTCATTTGATCCCAGCCTTACAGCCCCACCCTCAGCTCCTCCTCCTCTTCCCTTCTATGGAATTGTCTGGGCTTGACGGAACCTGTGACACGGTCAAAATGGCGGTGGAGCCTATGGAAACCCATTGTCCATATATGTGTGTCGATGGTTTCACCTGAAAGTTGTCTCAACACTGCTCTGAAAAGTCCCCTACAGGGTAAAACATAAGCTGCTCCTCTGAGCACACAACTTACAGAACCAAGATCCTATTAAAGAACACACTGAAATATCTAGAGAAGCTGAGAGAGAAGAAACCGCAGCACAGATCTGAGTTCTCCTCCCTGTTGGTGCTTCAGGCTGTCACGCCTCTTCTGCTCTCTGGTCTTGATTGGTGATAGAGAGCAGCTGGGAAGTCAGGAGGGAGAGGCTGAGCTGCTTTCCAGGGAGCTGGAGCAGGAGTATGGCGTTTAAAGCGTGCCACAACCCGTGCACGCGCATTGGGTCCACAGCGCGCGTGTGAACGGGACTCGCGAGCGGAAATATACATGGCGAGAGGTCATTTGTGCACTGAGAGGGAGCAAACTGTGTCTGTGAGCGCACAAGGTTGTGCACAAGTGACAAACCTGCGTGCGCGCGTTGTCAACGAGCACACGGCAGAGGAAAACGTGCGCGCGCGGCAGCCTCTGTGCGCGCTCGGCAGCCTCTCTGCGCGCTCGGTTTCTGACTCCTGCTCGCTCGGCTGTAAGGGTTTTGGCACTCTGGAGGCGTGGCCTGTGGCAGATCTTCTCTGTCCTCTGATTGGTTAGTGTACCCCGCACTTTACCCTCTACCTATCTATACAAAAAAGTCTGCTATTCAAGCAGTTGCTGGCATAGCTCAGTTGGGAGAGCGGGTGACTCTCGCCCCGGAGGATCCGGGTTCGAGGCCGGGCAAGGAAAATGCATTAGATGTCATGTTAATTTTTCTTAATTTCAGGTATTTTACAGTTGTGACCGTTCAACTGTCATTAAACGTCCGAATGTTTGCTGGGCAGTGTTTTAAAAAGTGCACATAAGCTAGATGGTTTTAACCATAGAAAATTACATTTTTTGTGATACTGGAAAAATACATACTGAAATAAAACTACTGATTGAAAACTTTATGACTGTGGTTGTACAATATATGACTCACTAATACACTGCAAACTCCCTTAGAGTGGGGCTTCCAGAGAGAGAGAGAGAGAGAGAGAGACAGAGAGAGAAAAGTTCTTGCCTCATTAATGAATTGTTTATTTTTTTCAGTATTTAATTGACAAATTATCCTTTCAAATAATTAATTGATGAGTTACATAATTGTCCATTTAGAATTGTTGAATGGACTGAGTCAAGTTTGGTGCACTTTATATATTTCAAAACATGTTTTTTTTAATGATGCATATAAATAATTTAAATGTTAATTTAATGAAATATTTCTATTTTTTCATTACCTCACCCTTGTTTTGACAAAAACAAGACCTTGCTGGATAATATCATGGAGAAACTATTTGTTCACAGTACATGGCTCAGTGAGGATCTGTGTAAAGGAGGAGATACTCAGAAATCTGTCTGCAGATTGTTACAACCCAGACTGGAAGTGGTGGGCTGTAATAAGAAAGGAGACCAAACAGAGGAGTGGGGGGTTCAACAACTGATTTATTTAACAAAAGTAAGGATTTACTAAAGCAAGTTAGTGAACAGAAAATGGCCATCTCAAGGTTTTACTCGGATGTCCCTCAGCAGGGTGCAGCACTGTTGAAGGTCATCTGAATGAAAGCTTGATATGCAGTTTCTTTATGAAAGTGTGTAAATATACAGTGTGGTTGCCGTACATGTGTTGAGGTTCTCAGACATCAGGCTTCTTTGCCCAGGCCTTCACTAGTGGGCTATTTTAAAAGTTGGTAAGGAGAAAAACCACAGCATATAGCTGATTGTTTACAAATGCAAGGAGGGGAATAACAATCAAAAACCTAGTGTTCTTGGACCAGATGAATGGAGCGCTCCACATGCACTCAGAGATGTTATGGCTTCTGTTTCTATAACTTTACATGCAGACATTTGAGGTTTGCCAGAAAGGAAAGCTGGCCTGTACACTTTGCAGGGCACAATGTCATCAATGAAGAAACCCCTGTCTACCAAGATGACCATCTCTAGTTGTAGCATTTTCATCACACCAGATTCCCAGGTTGGTCGCTGATAGTTCCAGCATACAGTGCTGAGACAAAGGTCACTGGCCTATGTGGCACAATCCAAATGAGCCTCTTCAGAGTGCAGTTGAACTTGAGGAAAATATATGACTCTGGAAGAGAGGGGAATATGGCCATTGACACCTCAGATCAGTGCAGTCAAGATTTACTGGTGTTTGGGTAGTCCTGAACGTGTTGTGATGCCCCCACCGTCTCATTGGGTTTTCATTTGTGTTTAATTGTGTTTTTCTTCTGTTGTAGGCAGCTGGTTAAGCAGCCTTGGAGGCACCTGGGCTCAGGGTGTGGTGCTGCCTACAAAGCCTACTGTTTTTCTGCTTTCACTGGGTCTCTCCTGTGTGGTGGAGAGTCCTCACTGGCCATTTTCTGTTCACTAACTTGCTTTAGTAAATCCTTACTTTTGTTAAATAAATCAGTTGTTGAACCCCCACTGCTCTGTTTGGTCTCCTTTCTTATTACAGCCCACCACTTCCAGTCTGGGTTGTAACAATCTGCAGACAGATTTCTGAGTATCTCCTCCTTTGGTACACAGATCCTCACTGAGCCATGTACTGTGAACAAATAGTTTCTCCATGATATTATCCAGCAAGGTCCCGTTTTTGTCAAAACAAGGGTGAGGTAATGAAAAAATAGAAATATTTCATTAAATTAACATTTAAATTATTTATATGCATCATTAAAAAAAACATGTTTTGAAATATATAAAGTGCACCAAACTTGACTCAGTCCATTCAACAATTCTAAATGGACAATTATGTAACTCATCAATTAATTATTTGAAAGGATAATTTGTCAATTAAATACTGAAAAAAATAAACAATTCATTAATGAGGCAAGAACTTTTCTCTCTCTGTCTCTCTCTCTCTCTCTCTCTCTGGAAGCCCCACTCTAAGGGAGTTTGCAGTGTATTAGTGAGTCATATATTGTACAACCACAGTCATAAAGTTTTCAATCAGTAGTTTTATTTCAGTATGTATTTTTCCAGTATCACAAAAAATGTAATTTTCTATGGTTAAAACCATCTAGCTTATGTGCACTTTTTAAAACACTGCCCAGCAAACATTCGGACGTTTAATGACAGTTGAACGGTCACAACTGTAAAATACCTGAAATTAAGAAAAATTAACATGACATCTACTGCATTTTCCTTGCCCGGCCTCGAACCCAGATCCTCCGGGGCGAGAGTCACCCGCTCTCCCAACTGAGCTATGCCAGCAACTGCTTGAATAGCAGACTTTTTTGTATAGATAGGTAGAGGGTAAAGTGCGGGGTACACTAACCAATCAGAGGACAGAGAAGATCTGCCACAGGCCACGCCTCCAGAGTGCCAAAACCCTTACAGCCGAGCGAGCAGGAGTCAGAAACCGAGCGCGCAGAGAGGCTGCCGAGCGCGCACAGAGGCTGCCGCGCGCGCACGTTTTCCTCTGCCGTGTGCTCGTTGACAACGCGCGCACGCAGGTTTGTCACTTGTGCACATCCTTGTGCGCTCACAGACACAGTTTGCTCCCTCTCAGTGCACAAATGACCTCTCGCCATGTATATTTCCGCTCGCGAGTCCCGTTCACACGCGCGCTGCCATGTATATTTTCGCTCGCGAGTCCCGTTCACACGCGCGCTGTGGACCCAATGCGCGTGCACGGGTTTTGACACGGGTATGACGCGATACAGGAGCTTCTTCATGACGCAGCAGGTCAGACTGGGTTCTGTAACAGCCTGGATGTTAGTTAAAAGTCCCATTCTCCATTTGACCCATCCCCGTGGGGAGTGCTGAGCTGCAGCTATGGCTGTGCTCGAATTATTTGGTGGTTAAAGATGCAATATGTACAAATTTTACAGTGAAATAATCACAAAACAGTCTAATGTCTCGATCACGTTGGAAGGAAGGTTACATTGAACCAGGTTGCTTTTCCTTTATAGAGTTATGTTTTTCTTTGTTAAAAAAGCTAAAGAGCGATGTGGTTTTTGTTTACAATCTGTGAGCCTGCAGGGTTGTTGAGTTCATGTAATAATGCTAACTGTTAATCAGAAGCAAAGAGTCGAGCTACCTTTTCCACTTACCAAAAACTCAGTATTGCGGTCAAATGTATTTATTTACTCATCAATTTAATGTTTATGACTAGTTCGTCATCTAGAAACTTCTGGCGCTGATCCGTAGCAAGTCTTGGAACGGTGGTGAGGGTCACTTGTGTGTTTAGAACTGAGCTGCAGTGACCAAATTTGACCACAGGATGTCATTCTTACTGCAAACTTTCAATTAGCATGTATGAAATATGAAAGTTTTATTTCATCCTACAACATGATGTATGCATCTTATTTCTGCAAAACAATAAGGAAATTAGAGCAGAGTGGAATCAAAGCCTTAAATGAGATGGAGAACAGAATGTCACTGAACAGTTTGTGTCTGGGTGATTTTTTTTTGTCATTCAATGGGTCGAAAGGCAAAAGCCACTGAAAATGTCTGCAGACAGAAGAATGTGTAAATTTGAACCTTTTGAGGAGAATAGCACCTAAGAGCAAAACGTGAAGAGCTGAAGATCTGAGACAAAAGTGTGTGTCAAAAATGATAAGATGGGGAAAAGGAAAGGAAAGGCCATGAAAAGATGAGTCATTGCTTAAGTTTGTCATTTATTATGAGGAAATGAAATAAAAGGATCACACAAAAGAGAAAAGAACATGATAATGTATTAAAGACTAATGGAAAAGTTTAACTTATACTTCAAACAAAGACGTGTTTGTTATAGCTTTTTATTTGCAGGTTAAGTTTTGCATGTTTGAACGCCGACACCGAGCTAACTTATCAAAGAAAGGCCAAATGAGGAGGGGGTAGGAATGTACAAGTTTTACTTCTAACTACTCCTTTTCGGACTTTGCTTTTGTGTCGAGTTGGGTTGTATGAAAATGTTTTTTTTACGTTAGTTCGAAATAAAGGTCAAGTCCAGTAACGATATGTGGGTGGAGGACTGCTTCAAAGCTCCTCTTATCTTAAACGTCCCCTAACAAAGCCCATTTTTCTGTCTATATAGATTAATTTAATTGAGCGTCATGTATTTTTACTTTGTTGAAAATAAAGTAATAACAGGATCATTTTCACCTTCCAGATGAGCTCAGTTTGCAGGAGTTCTGGTTTGATGAGCTTGGGCATTATTAAGCGTAGAAGAAATAATTTATGAATCATAAATCAGAACCTTAAAAATGCTCATTTTTAATGTGTTGAACTCTGAAAACATTTTAATTATTATTTCTGATTTTAAATCAGACTGAACATGAGTCCTCTACATCTATCTCCTGCGTTAGCTTCTGATAGAAAATAGACGGTGAAAATCTATGATATAAAATGCCTGACAGATCTACGTTACATTGTCACTTGAAGTAACACAGAGCAATTTCCTGCTCCTCTGCCCTACTGGTTGAAAATGAAATTACAACTACCATAACAACCCTGCAGCAGCCTGCTGTAGCTAACGCTAACAACAAGCTAACACTAACATGAGCCAAGGCTTCCTAAATAAGCCATAAATCAAAAAGATCCACAGAGTTGGATGAACATTATTGCTTACAAGTCCATCAGCAACAAAGTCAGGTCACAATCAGCCCATGATTTAATAGCCTTCTTCAACTTCCTCAAACTAGTGTAGGCCATGCTGATATTTACTCTTGTTTTAGCTCGTTGCTTCACCTCCAAAGACGTTATTCTCTTTACTTCCAGGCTCCACCATGGTGCCAGCAGGACATCAAACATCTTCCTTCTTTTTGTGCTTATTGACAATCAGCAAACTGAAAAAGCTAAATGTACAGAAAATAGCTAAAAGCTATAATGCAGGTAAAAGCCCCCACCCCCCACCCCCCAACTGCTGAGTGCAGTGTCTGGCCAGCAGAGGGCAGTAGAGTGGTGTCAAATATAAAACTGGTAACATTTCTAACGTATCACTGAAAACGATGTTGAAGCTCTAGCTTAAAGTAAAAAAAAAAAAAATTAGTCTTACTTTAACATTCATGGACTCACCTACATTGATTCACGACGGGGAGGCCTGTTGGTTGTGTGTCCAGGAAACAGCAGACAATGTCCAACTACTATCAGCAACACCAACACACAGAAGAACTCCTCCAGACTTTTGTTTTTTGTAGAGTTAAAAAATCAGTGTTGTAGTCAGTGGTAGAGTTGCATTACTGTTATCCAGTCTGAGACGAGATGTCCAAATACCAGGAAATAAAACTGCAAATGGTGCCTTGTTTTGCCACTCAGCTGCAGCAGACCTGTCCGTGCTGATCCAAGTGCTTCTGGACTTTTTTTGCCCCGAGTACAGCCTGCAAGGCATTATTTCCTACCAGAGACCACTGCAAATGTATTGATTAAACAAGTTTCCCACAGCGTTAAACAAACTTTTTACCACCCTTTGCAAAAATCGTATCAGAAATTCTAAATTTTTGTATTATATTGAGGGGAAAATGACAAAAGTTGATTCAATTCCTTGTTTTTCTAAAAAAAAGACTTGACTTTTACCACTTTCTGTGGTTTACCAGGTGTATTATTCGTGTTTTGGACTCTTTTGGCACTGAACCCGACTTCAATCATGCTGTTTGGGCTTCCAACCACGACCTTAAATGTCCTTTTGGTGGCCTGAGTCTGATCCCCATGCAGTTCTACACCATGTTCCGTACGTTTCTGCATAATTTCAGAATAACGGGGGCGATAATAAAACTGTTTCTCGCAGTTATTCTAACATATTTTTTCTCAAGTGATTCTTGCCGTCTCTCACACAGCTCATACTCCAGACAACACATTTCTTGGCTTTGTGGTGCAGCACCAGCTGAGCTCTGAAGAACACGAGCAGCTTGAGTCTACCAAGAGGCAAAACCAGGCTCTTGTGTACGGGAAGAGAGCCACATTTTGGCAGGTAACACCAGCAGTCATAAAAAGTTAGGATGTTTAGGAGCTCATAGTTGTAAACTTGTTTCTTTTCCTGTTACGCTGAAGGGTAAAGAGGCTTATCTGGATATTATTCACAAGTATTTGGACATCCACGGGACGGTGGATGACAGCGCCTTGATTCCAGATTATGTGAAAAACCACGGCATCGTTAAGGGAACAGAGGTGCAGAGGCTGTTGAGGCAAAGCAAAGTAAGAGAAAAATCATTTTACATTTTGTACAGGTTGAAAGGCGTTCATATTTTACATTTTCTCCAGTTACTTTAAAGTATTTACTCGTATCTTAAATCTTGCTGAAATCTCGAGCTTTTTTCTTTTTACAATATATTTTTATTTTCTCTGTCTCTGACTGCTGTTGGAAAGTGAAACCATTCCCGCCGCTGCATTTTTATTGTTAGTTTTTCATTATTAATTCCTGGTATTTTCCACAAGACTAGCCATATTTCCTTGTATTAAGTCAAATATTATCTGAGCTATTTTTTTTCAACTGACAGCAAAAATCCAATGAAACCTGCACAGATTTACAAAAGCAACACAAACTCCTTCCTCTAAGAATTTTGCATAAAAAATCCTTTATGGAAGCTCACCTGGGCATTATTCCTGTGGTTTAAGGATGCTAAACTGGTTTAATTACAATAAAGGATGAAAGAGGGAGCTTTAATTTCAGGAATTTCTTCCAATCTTTCCTTTCATCAGCTGGTTGAATGAAAACGCATAAAACACAAATATGGATAATCAAGAACCACTGCAGTAAAAAAAAATAAAATAACAAAATTCTAAATGTAACTGAACAGAAATGTTGCCACACAAAACGCCCCCTCAGCTTCAGACTATTTTTTTCTGCTGTTTTCTGCCACCATGTGGTTAGAAATACTTTTCTGTTTAATGCTGATTTAATGCATTTTTACAGCTTTTTGTAGGGTTATCCTTCCCGTATGAAGGTCCCGCCCCTTTGGAGGCTTTAGCCAATGGCTGCGCTTTTCTGAACCCCAGATTAGAGCCTCCACAGAGCAGCCTGAACTCAAAGTTCTTCAAAGGAAAACCCAACACCAGAGAGGTCAGATATCGGATTCATAACTTTAGCAAAAACTAGTAAGTGTTTTTAACCATATTGTTGTTTTAACACACATTATTATTGCTGATGTGTTTTTGCAGGTCACATCTCAGCATCCTTATGCTGAGGCAATCGGTGAGCCCTATGTGTGGATGGTGGATATGAACAACCAGACAGATGTGGAGAGAGCCATCACTTCCATACTCAATCATAATGTAGCAATGGTTTTAATTTCAAACCATAAAACCCAAAAGATACAATTAGAACATAATGCACATTTATTTTTTACGTTTCAGATAGAGCCCTACCTTCCGTATGAGTTCACCTGTGAAGGAATGCTGCAAAGAGTTAACGTCCTAATAGAGAAACAGGTTTGTAAAATCTGGGCTTGCGTGTTGGATAAATGAAATATTAGAAATGTTCTTAGTTTCCCTTTCTTTTTTGCATTTTAGGATTTTTGTTCAGCTGCACCAAGTTGGCCTCCTCTGAGCGCACTCCGGGTGTTGAAAGCAGAGGCAGGTGTGTCGTGTAAAAAGGTGTGTCAAAGGGCGGGGCTGGTGTGTGAACCGGCATTCTTCCCACACCTGAACAACGACAAGAATCTTGCCAGGTGCGGAGAAAAAAAACAATAAGATAGATAGATAGATAGATAGATAGATAGATAGATAGAAAGAACACACTTTGAGTACACTGTAGAAAAAAGAAAAGCCTTTCTTGGTGATTGCAGCTTCTACATGCCTCTTCTATGGAGACACCAGTCATCTGCGTTGCTCAGGAGTGATTGAACAGAAACTGTTTAAATCTTGAAGATTCCTTGGGCCTCTGTCGGTGCATTTCTCCATTCATCCAGACTTCAATAATATCTCTGCCCTTGCTGAAATGCAGGCCCACACCATTTGCTTCCACCCCCGCCTAGAGCATGACGTTGGCTTCTGGGGCTCAGTGTTGCAGTGGTTTAAGTCCTACCTGTCAGACAGGACTTTTACAGTAAATATGGGGCATTGTTATTCGTCTCCAGCGAAACTTAGTTGTGGTGTCCCTCAAGGTTCAGTTTTGGGCCCGCTCTTGTTCTCTCTGTGTATGTTGCCTCTTGGTGCAATCTTTCATAAGCATGGCATCGAGTATCTCTTCTTTGCGGACGATGTACAGATATATGTCCCACTACATTCTCGAAGGCCATCGTTTGACAAATTACTGAAATGTCTAAAAGATGTTAAAAACTGGCTACAGTTGAACCTTCTCACTTTAACTGACAAAAAGATGGAAATTGTTGTTTTTGGGGACCCTGGGCTGTTCCACGAGGTAAACAGTGTATGTGGCCCTTTAGAATCCTTTTGTGTGTCTCAGGCAAGAAATCTGGGTTTTTTCATTGATGGCCATTTTAAACTTGATAAACGGATAAGTTCTGTGGTCCAGAGCGTGTTCTTTCATTTGCGTGTTCTTAGTAAAGTCAAGCCCTATTTACCACTCAAAGACTTTGAAAAGGTTATACACCTGCTAATCATGTCAAGACTCGGCTACTGCAACTCCCTATATCATGGACTGGAGCAGTCGTCAATTCACCGCTTGCAGGTGGCTCAGAATGCGGCAGCCCACTTGCTGACAGGTAGGAGGCGCAGGGATCACATAACACCAGTCTTACAAGCTCTTCACTGGCTCCCGATCACTTACAGGATTCAATTTAAAATGCTAATGATCTGTTTTAAGGCGCAACACAATTTGGCCCCTCCTTATCTGTCGGAACTTTTAGTCCCCAAACGAAACCTCCGATCATCCTCTCTACATCTATTATCTGTTCCCAAGTCTAGGCTGAAGTCCAGAGGCGACAGAGCCTTTTCTGTGGCCGCTCCCAAGCTCTGGAACAGCCTTCCCCTACAGATTAGGTCTGCAAACAGTCTTTCTGCTTTTAAGTCTCTTTTAAAAACCTCCCTTTTTACCCTTGCGTTTAATTGATTTTATTAAGTAATTTTAGGGTCTACTGGAAGGCTCTCAGTGTTTTATCTTTTTATTTTTACTGCTTGTCTGTGTACAGCACTTTGTGCCGTCTCTGAATGTTGGAAATGTGCTATATAAATAAACTTGACATTGACATTGACCCCCAAACCTAACTGTTGGTATGTTGCTCTTGGGGTGGTGGGCAGTGTCATCTCTTCTCCAAACATGGCGTGTAGAATAACAGCCCAAAAGTTAAATTTTGCTTTCAACTGACTACACTATGGTCTCCCAGTGATCCACAGGCTTCTCCAAATGCTGTTTTGCAAACTAACATAGCCTCAACATTTTTGTTTTAGCAATAGTCTTGCTTAGTCAGCATGAATGGCGATCAAATGCATTGCTTTTAGTTTTCTTTGAAACAACAGTACCTGCTTACTTTTTGGTGGTTCTTCATTATACACAAAGCATGTGTATAATGAAGAACCTCAAAAATCAAATGGAATAAAAAACACAGAACGAACGCAACAAAGATGTTCAAACAGTACCTGCTGATGCAAGGGCTTCCTGAAGTTCTGCCTGAGTGGTTCTTGGCTCTTGGAGAACTGATTTGGACAGGAATCTTACATGGAGCACCTGATCATGGCTGGTTTATGGTGAACTGATGCTCTTTCCATTCCTGGATAATGGTCCCACAGTGATGACAAGAACATTCAGCATTCTGGAAATGCTCGTATAACCATTCCCATCAGAATGCTTTTCTACAATAAGATTACTTAATTCTTGGGAGTGTTCTTCACTTTTCCCAACATCAAGTCTTTCTGGTGTGTTTCCTGGGTAATGAGAAGCCTTAATTAGGACTAAAGCAGCTGATATCAATTAGTACTGATAGTGGGCGGAGTTTCTCAATACTGACAGATCGCAGGTGATCTCCTGGCTTTCTATGCCATTTAGCACCTTATGTTTAATGCCTTTTCCCTGTGTCGTTTTACTTTATTACACATAACTCAATTTGTGGACTTAAATGTTTAGATCTCTTTGCATAAATTAAATACTTGAGTTGATATTGAAAGGTGATGAGATTGTCAATTGTATAAATAGTCCACTTGTGTACTTAGGGTTGGAAAAGTACTTGGGCCAGCGTTGATGGCCGTGGTTTTCTGCAGACCTTGTTTGAGCTGCTGTTGCTTTTCTATCATCTCCACTCACAACACTACAGCCCTCTCGCTATTTTTGTTTTTATTGTAAAACTTCGAGAAGGTTGTATCATCTCAACACATCATCAGTTTTACTAATACTAATACTTTTTGCGCAAATCATCTTCTAACCTAGCTGTCTAAATGCACTGGGCTGCATCTAACTGATTGGCTCGTTAGTAGTTTGTGTTAGAAGGCAAATTAAGTGTATATTGAGTATTTGTTGTGCTCATGTATCTTATTTTATTAGCAGGATCTATCATTTCTTAACTGTTTTCTCTTTCTTTTTGCAGCTACAATGTAGATTGCCAGACATCAGAGTTTTCTGATAAATACATCGTGCTTCCTGCCTACAACAGCAGCAGTAAACAGTGTCTGTTCCAGCAAGATCCTCTGCTCTTCAGCTGTGTCAGATCGGACCAGTCCCTGGTCAGAATCTGCCCCTGCAGGGACTACATCAAAGACCAAATAGCCCTATGCAAGGAATGCATCTAACTGCTGGATAAAAACATTACAAATAAAAATGCAGCTTATCTAATGTTTTCTCAGTAGTTTACAGCTGACTCGGCACCAGGAAGTCTCAAGGAAGCTGAAACATGAAGGGATTTTACAAAGTTCTCTGGTTCTAGTGAAGTTATTGGTCATTAACAATTGCAGAACGTGGAAATCAAAGAAAAGGACTTGAAACGTTATCATTTTTGTGGAAACAGCAAATCTACAGGCTCAAATATCGGAGCATTTTGGAAAGCAATGACTTCAAATGAGACACATTCAGTCACATGTGCACTTAGTGTCATCGGTGTGTGCTTGAAAACATCAATGCAAACAAAAAAAAAGGGAAAAAACAAAACATCTGTCAAACTTCTGATGATTCAACAGGAAAAAACAACTTTATTTAATGAATCAAAACTTTTCATTGACAAAGACATAAGTCTTACTGTCCTTTTACATAAAATAAATGTTTACATAATCTTGTTTAACACTGATGCCATTATTGTACAGTCTGTTATATAGAGTAAATTCATTTATATAGTTTCATGTTTGTGCAGCTATGAAACATTTATTACTGTATGGGGAGGATTACAGGCCCATGCAACGCTTATGGCAACAGAGAAGTCATGTGTATTGCTATCATAACTTTCGGTAAAATGGATGGATTGGTGTTTTCTGCAAATGGTCGTAAATGAGACATTCTCAGGCAATTTCAGAATGGATGGCACTTGGTTTTGATCATTTGAACTGGAGAATTAGATGGAAAAAATGGAAATTTTGCATTTTTGCAATTTAACATAAAACATTTCTGCGAAAAAGCAAGAATGGGGAAAAAAAGAGGGAAAAATAGACATTACTGGAATGTAAATGTCACTGTTAATGTTTAGCATCAAAACAAGACAGAAGAAAAGAGGTAGAAAGGATTTTGATGCCAAAAACATGAATAGTTTTAAGTGCAACTGAGCTAAAAAGCTGCAGAGAAGCAGTGGAAGAGATTGACAGTGGGGTTTGTTCTGTGATGAGGTGGCTCCATCATGTGGAAACTCTGTGCCTTGCTGTAGAAAATAAAAGATCACTGTAAAGATTGTCTTCTATGCGGTAAAGAGGGGTGCAGGGGGACGTTACAAATCAGTGCGCTGTTGGTGAGTTGAGCTGGTGTGAGATGTCACACCATCAGTACACCTAATCCAAACTCTTCACACCACGGAGTTAAAGATTATACCCACAAGTTTACACTTTGTCAAGTATGTAGAGTGCAGAGTTACTCTGCACAGCTGCTTCCCAAGACTTTCACAGTTTTTAGTTGAGCTCAAGCACGTTGGGACACAAAATGACACTGTCATCGTTGTTTGGGCCACTAGGGGGAGCCCCTGCTATTTAAAGTTGTGCAAAACACTCCTCTTATGTTTCATTTACAAGGACATGTTTCTACTTTCTAAGTTTTTGAATGCACTTGTTATTTCTGAAAAGCATTTTCTTAATTCTAATAAATGTTCATTCTCAATGTTGCAGAATTTCAAGTTTACATAGTTTCAAATAAATCATCAAAACGGTGACATTAAAGTTTAATAAAGTCTTGAATCGCCCTGTGAGGTAAATCCTGCACCCTATCGGAAATGTTCGTCTACAGCGCAACAACGTACAGTAAGACTCGCTTCATTTCACAAAGATTCTACAGTAAAATGTGAAACGTTTACAGTATTTTCACACTACAGGGTAAACATTTGCAACATCAACCAGTCTGTATTATGCCTTCTACTCCCAAACAGTGTAATAAACATATTTACAGAGCTTTGTGCTTTAATATTACATTCTGCTCATTGCACATAATGATGGACAGTTTAATAATGGTGGGAAAACGTGCTGGTAAAGGACAAACAATTGGACAGTTAAAATAAAAACTATTCCTACACGGCTTGATCTCTGTCACTGTACCCAAAGTCCTCTCACTCTTATTTATACAGTCAAGGAGGATGCAAAGAGGCAACTTTGACTAAAATAATTCAAGTAATAAGTCCTAGTTTTAGTGCAAACATCTAAAAAAGAATGATGACCTGGATGAGAGTAAATAATGGTGCTTTAGTTTATTGCCTGGTGTTGTTTCGCCTTTTTCTCACAAGTTCAGGTAAAAAGTTGTGTGATGGCAACACAGCAGTAAATAAAAGTAAACCGCCTCTAAGGTTTGGTAAAAATTGGCCCCGTGATCATTTTCAGGCTACATACAGCAAATTACATCCGATTACCACCATCACCATGACGACGTACATAAAAAAGGCCTTACTCTAGATTTGTGCACTTGTGTTTATAAACATTTTATGGAAAACATTTTAGACTCCTTTTGTTATTATTTTTAAACGCTGGTAAACTTTGGATTGAAAGCTTTAAAACAACAAAAGAAAGACTTGGCCCTGGAGTTTCCTCCCAGTTAGCCATGCCAGGAAACTCCAGAGGAGGGCAACCAAGTGGCATCCCAGTCAAAAGGCTCTGTTCTAAGGGGAGGGGCAACAGCTCTACTTCGACTCACCCTTCTATCTCAAAGGCAGAGTCAACCCTCCAATAGACCCTTTTACTGTTTGTAAACAATATGACATCAGCGAGAATGCGCGAGCAGCTTGGCAACAGAGAATGGCGTTGTGTCAGGCTTTATCAAGCTACGCTGCGGGGTTATCACCGGCAAATCTTGAATGTTATATTATTAAAGTCACTTTAACGAATGGCAACAGACTCCCGGATCCCTGTGGCATTACGGAATGGGTGGAAGATGTAGGTGCGTGGCCAGATATCCAGTGGCCCGATATATATATACATTTTTAGTGGAGAGGCCCAGTAAGTACACACGTGAGAAGCTACGGGCATACAAATCGTTAGATGCATACAACTATGTTGTCTGTGGCCACGTACATAAAGTAAAATATCACAACACAGACTCTGAGTTTTGCGTCTTGAAGGCAGAAGTCCTTCCTAGCCAAAGACAAGGACACAAGACTGCTATGTACGAGGCTTGGGTCATAGTAAACAAACCAGAGAACTACGTCTTCACAGCCAACTGTACCTGCATGGCAGGGTGAGTATAGCGTAGGTTTCTTTTTTTAGTGTGCTCAGAGTACAATCGTGTTAATTTTAGAGAAATACAGTTTATACTAATATGCAGTGGGAAAATACAGATGAATTAGAATGAAATGTTAATTTGAAGCATGAAATAAAGCGTATAAATTTGTTTAATTCTATAATTTTGATGTTCCAGACTTGGGTCATGCTGCAGCCACGCAGCAGCAATTTTATTCAAAGTTGAGCTTTGTGTTAGGATGGGAAAAACAGAAAAGGCTGCAGTTACATCTGATCTCAGGCATGTGCATGGAAAGACCTGAGCAGGAAAAATGTAGAACTTCGGAATTCTGTAAAGTTTCCGTCCACTGCTTGAAGAGAAGCGATTCTGGCATCCATACACGCAACAACCCGACATTTTTATGTGCTCAGAACTTCAAAACAAAGGGTTTAAAATGCTGTTTTAGTATCGAGTGTGAATGAGGAAGCCTTCACTCTCGTTGCCAGGCTACGCGCGCAACTTTTGATGACATAGGTAGTAAAAGGGTCTATGAAGACCACTGTAGCTGTGAGTACTCAAGATCTTGTTCTTTTGATCGAGAGTCGAATCGGTTTGTGAGGGTTGTGATTTAAATGGACCAAAAAGAGCCTGGAGCAACACCCTAATTACTGCAGATGGCTCCCAGACCTTTTGGTCCATCTCTCACGTTATTTTTGCTGCATTGTGCTTTCCCGATTGATGAAGACTCAGCTCGACCTAGAGGGAGCCTTCCTCTTTAATCTGGTTGAGATTCATGCCTCAGATTTAGAGGAGCTGAATCTTATCCTGGATGCATCTTACTTGCATGCGAGCCACTCGAGTGCACACCGAATGTCAAAGGTGAAGACACACCAACAGAACCTGAGAACATCAGAGATGCACACCCGAGGTTCCCATACTAGATACCCTACTCTTCTAAACTCTACCATGAAATCCTGTTCATAAACATCATGAACAGGATTGAAGACGAGGAGGAAGGTCCGCCATCCCATGAGATGGATGAAAAGCCACACCGACTTAAGCTTGGTTTATGCTTGACACATTTACTTTCCGCTTGGTGATGCGGCTCGCGGATGGAACGCGCTTCACAACTCGCAGCGTTTACGGTTCGTGTGGCTCGTCTCTGCAGTGAGCCAATATTCTCCCAAACTGTAGGGGGCAGCATGGAGCTCTACGGCATGCATCCAACACTACACCATAGTAGAAGTAGAAATTACTGTTTACAACATGGCATTTCAGCATTTTCAACAGCGTCCTCGTCTTTTCCGACAGTGCGAGCTATTTCTCTCCAAGAATTATTAACAACATGTTGATCACGGTGATCTCTGAGAGCTGAATCATACAAATGTCTGTATTTACGAACCTCTGCCATACTAGTTCTTGCCGGTCCGCCATGTTTTTCCGCGTCCGACCATCCGCGTGGTTAGAAAGGTTCCTAGGTGAGCGTTGCGGAAATTTTGGGCCGTGCGGAGGCGCGGTGGAGGGGCGTGGTTGTTAAAATGACGCAATTTCACCGCGCGGAGCCGTGCGGACCTCGCGGACGCGCCAAGCATAAACCAACCTTTAGAGGTTTGACAGCTGGTATTATCTTTGTCCACCACCTACTAGACCTTCAAAGGTTATGGACACACTTTCCCCATGGGCATGGCGATGGGATTAAGAAAATCTACCGGTCCTCCATCAGGTCCTCTGGTCACAATATTCTGACCACAGCTCCTGAAAGCTATGTCTACAACAGAATGTGATCCATTGAATGCACCATGGGCCATTGGGATTTTATTTACCCATTCTCTACTGGGATGCAGGAAACCCCCTTCTGGAGATGTGGGTTGGAGATTTTGATGAAGTTCACTCTTGTTAGCATTTAACAGATCTGTCGGGATCACCAGCTCTGCTCCTCTCTTTGGTGTCACAAGAGCCGAAACACTGTTTGCAACATTTATTAAAAAGGGAACCACGATTCTAAAAGACTACAAGTGATTTTACATATTTAATAAATCAATTAAATAATTAGTCAGAATAACACACGGGGCGTTACACTACAGTCAGATTGATAAAAAACAATTTCAATTGCTTTATTTAGCAAATTAAATTGATGAAAACACACTAAACCTAAGGAAAACCTTGCATTGGTATGAACCGTGTCTGCTTTACTTTCTAAAGTAGTTTGTAATTTTTAAATGTGTTTTCCATCCGGGGCACCATTTAAACGTTGCATATGGTGAAAATAAAAGAGAAAGCGAAGAAGAAAATGTCTAATTGAGATTCCATCGTGGAGTTTTCTCTCAAAGTCTCTCAGACTTGTGTGTGTGTGTGTGTGTGTGTGTGTGTGTGTGTGTGTGTGTGTGTGTGTGTGTGTGTGTGTGTGTGTGTGTGTGTGTGTGTGTGTGTGTGTGTGTGTGTGACTATGTACAGTATGTACAGCTTCAAAGCACGTATATTCACATATATGCCTGTAGAGGAACGTGTGTGTGTGTGTGTGTATGTGTGTGTGTGTGTGTGTGTGTCTACAAATGCTCATCCGGTCAGGTCTTTCACTCAAAGCGTTCATAGTTCCTCGTCTGTCTGACTCGTGGTATCATGTCCTTCAGGAGCCTGTGAGCACAAAAACATCTATCAGTTAAAATGTTTTACACGTGTGATTTTGGTACGCCAAAACTTTTCTAGTCGAGTCTCTTACTTGACTCCATATGCCAGTATGATGAGTCCAATCAGAACTCCGATGCTGCCGTCCAGAAACCACACATCAGGATGCTGTTTGAAAACCTCAGCGCTGATGAGAATTGAGAATCCCATTATGGCTCCAACCAGTGAGTTAAAGCCTTAAAAAGGGTTCAGGATGGTACAAAAGTAATATCATTTCATTATTACTAAAAAAAAGAACATTAAATAACTGAACAACATAAAAATGTACGTTCAAACATGCATTTTTGGGGGGGATTTTGGTCCTTTTTAATGTAATGGTCTATTATTCATCTGTTATAAAGATGCTTCCTGGTGATACGTCCTATATCGTTGGAAAGCCTGACTGGTCACCTTTCAGGGTGAAAATGAGCAACAAATCTAAAGGTGAAGGTAAAAACTCCCATATCTATATATAAATGCTACAAATGCACCGTTGGTCCTTTAAAGGAATGATACACATCCAACATGTGACATGAAAATGTCCTTTATGCAGGTCGGACATGTTTATTTGGTGTATTTTTGCACATTTCTGCTAATTAGGCTCTGTTAGTGTCACTCTCCACAGTGGCTGATGGGATTTTTTATATCATTACATTTGTCCTGGTGTGAGAGCGAGCTCAGTGGGTTATTGTCTTGCCTGCAGTAAGCATTGAGTCTTGAGGGAAATAAATCTGGGCTCAGAGAACAGCAGCCTCAGGTTTATTGGATTGATGCCCTGTGAGTTGGACAGCGGGACTGGGGGACGGCAGCGTGTTGCGTTCGTGTGTGCTTTGGTTTAAATCTGTATGCTTCTGTGAGCTGTTGGTGGTTACCCTCCATTTACTCTTGGCTCGGCCGTTCTCAAACCAAAATAGATGCAGATGTTCATTTATTCTGTTATTTTTCATTGTTGGGACGTTTTTGTTCATCGAGCATCTGTGCAAGGGCCAGAATGTTTCCAAGTTGGATTTTGATTCCTAATGTTTTTGGTTATTTGTGTGTTTCTGCTGTTTATATTTTATTTTTCAAAGGATTCAAACAACTTTTCATTTTATTTTTATTCTATCATGTTGTGCAACGTTTCTTAATTTTCTTGCAGTATCTCATTGGTCGAGGGTTTAATCACGTGGAGATCTGGACCAAGTGACTTTTTTTTTTTACTGAAGTAAAACCCAAATTGTTCCTAAACGTTCCACCTAAAGCTGGTTTAAGATGTTAAATTGAAGAGATGCTGAACTCAAACCTGGGTTCTCTGGCTTTTTCGAACTTCTTGCACTCTATTCTGCATACCAGTGTTAGTTTGCAGTGTTTGCGCATTTGAATCCTCTGAACACGCACTCTAATAAATTAAGGTTCCACCTTTTATTCCCCCTTTCCGAGTCTGACTCCTGTGTTAGATTTTGAGAAATTAATAATTCACTTTCAGGATGGCATGTGGACACTGTCCAGCCTTCCCTGGGAGACGTCAGCTGCAGTTTTGAACCACGATTTATTTAAATAAATATATATTTGTGTGCGTGTGCATGTCCTACCGTCGGTGATAAGTGCCCGACTCGTCAGTTTTTTGCCCAGCATGAACTTGGCCACGGCCAGCACAGCACAAGTGAGCCCACTTACTACGGACACGCTGTAGAGAAAGTCATCCTGAGAAGCACAGGAGAGAGAAAACAAAGATTAAATAAAAGATAAACAAAAAGCAAAAAGGGAAACCGATGCAAAGTGAGCCCAACACATCAGTGATTCATCTTGACCCCTCAGGTTTCGTGAAATCTAGTGCATCGCTCGATTTCAGCTCCAGGTCAGATGCACGAAGCCTCTAAGCTGGGCTGTTTTCATCGTAAGTCTCAAACCGACTCAGCAGAAACACAACCTGACCCATGAGCGACCATCTCTCAGATTTAATTGGCCCACTTCCCTCAATGACAAGCGGGGACCAGGGGGAGGTGCAGAGTAAACACAGAAATGTGGCAGTGGAGGACGCAGTCAGATTGTCTTTGTCAGACTCACTTTCCACACAAGACTTTTGGTCGAGGCGAAGAGAGAGAGAGAAGAAAAAACAACAACATACGTTTAGCCATTATAACAGCCTTTTAAATCATTAAATTATACCAAACACGGCTTTGGATAGAGGCTATTTATTTATAGTGTATTTGCATGATATTTGATATAATGCACACAGCCATCCGGTGCAGGATGGTGTTACATCGATTAGGTTTGACTAGGCATCCTGCTACATTTAAGTAAAACTCACACAGAAAAAAGAAAAAGTGAGTCTGAAACACATCCAAATGGCAGTTATTTGTGTTACACAAGATAATTGTGTGTCTTTCTAACGCTACAGTCAGCAGCCCCTCTCTTTTCTCTGCTGCCCTCCATGCAGGTATGAAATTGTAAGTGTCCTCTTTTTTAGCAGCTATGTAGTTCATTGCTAAAGAAATTGTAGGTTTTTGCTCCTGTGGTCATGCTGATCACAAAAAGAAGCTGGAGACCAAACTAATGGGCCATTCCCATCTGTACCGGGTCGGCCCGGGCCGGGTAGCGTAGGTTGTTTACATATCTGGGTGGCCTGGTATTGTTCTGGGCCAACCAAGGCTCATTCTCAGCCCTCTTCTCGAGGGGGTCTGCTTCAGGCCGACCAGGGCCAACACACCCACTGCTGACAGCAAATTCACACCTTCCATTAGAGCAAGCCTCTGATTGGTGGGTAGAATCAGCCCACATGGGCTTAAGACAAGGATGTGTGGAATCAACCGGGCCAGGCTGGGGCCGACTGGGGCTACCCGGCCCGGGCCGACCCGGTACAGATGGGAATGGCCCATTAAGCACCAGCCTCAGAAGGCTGACTGCAGAAAACAACCGCCTAACCTTAAATCCTTACTAAAACTAAGCTGAAAGGAATCATGTGATGCTTTGCAATCATTTTAAAACACTTACGTTAACGCTGGACTTTTTAAAGATATGATGTAGACAGCAGCAATTTCCTTTGTGACCACGTCACGAGGCACTACCTTTATGCAGTTATTTTTGCATCCACATGCACAGAGAAGAAAATAGAACAGAAAAGGTCTGTGTCCCGGGCTGCAGAACAAGAAAAAGAGTCAAAGAACAGCTTCACAAACCCCTACAAGCATCTCTGGAGTGTTCCACCTCTCTGCTGTCAACAACACTTTCTCTTTTTTAACATCTCACATCACTTTACTGATGTGCTGCAGTATTTGTTTCAGACTTGCTGCCGCATGAAGGGAACTCCCTTCTTTTTTCTAAGTAATAATATTTATGCATACATTATTAAAAGGAGATCTCAGCGAACTCCTCTTCACAGGGAAACCTCGGGCTTGTGTGACATTTTAAAGATTGCTGACAGATCTCCTCTCAGCACGGAGGTGGTGGGAGCTGCTCTGGATTTAATCAGACGCAAACAGCCAGTCAGTGCGGCAGAGGACGTGATGCGAATCGGGATTTCTGATATTCTCTGACCACTCTGTGTGATTTTACATCCCAGGCTGCCAGCATTTTACAGCATTCCCACAGTAGCACTTCTACTCCTCGGGCTTTTCGGGCTTCAGAGCAATGATGTCCCTCAGAAGCAGAGATTTTTAGTTTTTGTTTGTTTATTTTTTATTACCGACATTGTAGAAGTGTGAGACATCGTTCTTTTTCAACCATGCTGCACTTCATGCACAAACACACAGACTTGGCACGTAAACAGTTCACGTCTGGCATGCCGCATCAAGACTTTAGTACGTTTTTCTGCCAAAAAAAGCCCAAATGTGAAAAAGCGTGGTAGAAAACAAAAATCTGAACGATAGATGAGGTTGGCTTCAGGGGAAAAAATATTAAAAACAATAAAATCAAGATTGACGCTAGATAATTTGGTGAAATAATCTAGAAATTGATCCAAGCCTAGAATGCTATGAAAGGGATTTACAGAAAAATAAACATTTGGCAGTTTAAGAGAATAAATCCAAGATGTGTGCTGAGAATCGTCCTCTACAGCCCTCAGGCGTTTTGCTTTCCAGCTTTGTTGATCACACCAAGAGTTCTTACTGTTTATGCATAATCGTTATATTCACACATCTGAGAAAACCACAGACTGACAGCGGAGGTGAAGAAGAGAGCGAACTGCTGGAGGTAGGAAGCAGAAGGAGATGGTGGTAATAGGCTTTTGCTGGTGTAGGGGAGGATTCCCTGGAGAAACGCCGTCTCTATTAACATGAAGGCAGTAAACAGTGTCTGCAGAAGGGCTGCAGCCCTGAACCAGCTCCACGCAGCCTTCATCTCTCCTCTTCATTCAGGTCTTCATTTGTCATCAGATTTCCTTTTTCTTTTAAATGTCACGTCCATCTGAATGTCAGCGAGGCACGCTGGAGCCAAAAGCGAGATGCGGAATAGTTTTAACTTAAATGTAAGGTTCGTACCAATAGATCTGTCACCTGGTGTCATTTAAAGTGTGAAACGCTGAAAAACCAAGTTTGATTTCTGATTATCTGTCACTCTGAGATTTACAAGCAGGCCGAACATGAAAATAGTCTCCTACACCTATCTCCTGCGTTAGCTTATCCGAAGCTACTCTATAAAATCCTGACAGATCTACGTCACATTGTTGTCTAACAATCATGGACTCATCCATCTTGACCCACAACGGGGAATGCTGTTGTTAGTTTAGCGTCCAGGAAACAGCAGCTGACGTCTCGGCTAATGGAAGCTAACTGTTAACGTTAGCAACTCAACAACATGACAAAAATCCTCCAAGTTTTGTGTTATTAGTGGAGATAAAACATCAGCTAGAGTCAGTGGTAGAGTCGCGTTGCTGTTGGCCAATCAGAGGAGAGATGTCCAAATATCAGGAAATAAGACTCCCAAAACCTGCCGTCTGATGCTACCTTCTCCTCCAGCAAACTTCCTGATTCAGACACATTTGACAATGGTTTGCATCTGTACATACATCTGTTTTTGGAACATTTCCACCCTTTAAGACTTTCATGGGGCCTTTTGCAGTTTCGTTGGTGTGTTTTACACATAAAAACTAATTAGAAAATTGCTGCGTTTGGGATTTTTAACCTAATTTTCTGGCCTTTGCTCAGTTTAGTTAGTTTCTCTACTGCTGTATATAGTGTGCATGGAACAAAACTGATAAAAGTTACTAAGATGAGGAGAAAGTTTGGAACCGGGACTTATGAATCGGTTCCTGCACTTTAGAGCTTTCCGGCTGCAGAGCAGAAATCACAGAGACGTGTGGGCTTTTTCTATGAAATGGACAGATGGTAAGGGGGCTTAATCGTTTAAAAATTAAAGAAATTCTGGTTCAAAAATGGAAAAAATGTTTGACAGTGGAAGAACTGGAATGTGACCAAATCAATAAACGCTTTCAGGGAATGAAAAACTGTGGACACGGGTTATTTTAGAGTTTATTGCTGTCATTTGCTTCATATTTATTTTTTTGAACTAATGTTTTATTTATACTAATTTATTATCATTTAAATATCTTCTACTGTTTTTTGTTATTCTAAACTCATTTAATGCTGACTTTTTAAAGTTTATATTAATCACTTCAACACCTCTAGAAAATGGTGGGTGACGTTTTGTTTACATTATAAGGTGTTAAATAAAAATTGAGACAGTCACAGAAATGAGCAACTTAGAAAAATTAAAAATAATTCTAACTCTTTCCCAAAGAGAACACTTTGTAAAAAAACATTTCATCGTTTAGCACAAGGGTCTGCAACTCCAAGGGTGTTTCTCAATGCCAAGGAACCTTGCCTTCAGGTCTTGGCCCGGCCCCGGTTGCCTAGGAGATACATCAGGAACCATCAAGACGTGTTCCAATGTTCATGTTCTACCGAGGCATGTTCTCCGTTTGTTGGCTGTTTAGCTAGCTGAGCAAGGATACACGGGAGGTGTCTTGTAGCCTAGCCTTGGTCAAAAATTACCTAGAACACACCACGGTATATTCAAAAGGATGACGGATCAGAAGCGGGCAGCTACTTCGGGGACAATTTTCAAGTTTAAAAGTAGGACAACTAATTTAAAATGTTTTTTTTTTTTAGATCCAAAGAAGTTATCTGTTGTTGGTTAGTTGCAGCTTCGGTGGCTAGTGGGTAGTAACTCACTTATATATTTAATTTAACAAATATAAACACAATTTATAAAGTAAAAGGCCCATTATATATTTATATTGAAACTAATACGTATAAAATATAACGTTAACTCCCGTGTCACGTGATGTTACGTGACCGCCGTGGAAGCTGCGGTCACGTGATGCAAGTCTGTTCCATTTAACCGACTAAGGAAGGACAGTGTCCTCGTAAGCAAGGCGCCTGGCCTCGCAAGACATCACCTCGCAAGGCCAGGCGCCTTGACGTTGAGAAACACCCCAAATATGAATGCATTCAGGAAATGCTTAAAAAGAGACCGTATGAAATTATCTCTCCAGGTTTTTTGCAGGAGCAGAATAGCGACAAAATTTGTTTTAAATGTGCTTAATTTATAGTTTAATGCTTTCCTTTCTAAATTATTTATGCAATTCTCTGCCAAAGAGCAAGATTTTTCTCTAAAACCACAAAAAACGTTAAATTTTTCCATGAATCAAAGGGAATTGGACATAACAAGGACACGTTTTGTACACCTGTGTGCATGTGTGTGTGTGTGTGTGTGTGTGTGTGTGTGTGTGTGTGCACGTGTGCGTGCATGTGTGTGTGTGTGTGTGCGTGTGTGTGTGTGTGTGCAGCATTACCACTTCTGGAGGCATCTTGGTTGCCAGATCATGGATAGCCTTTCCCAAGATGCACAGGGAGGAAAGAACAAAAACAACCCCCAGGATGACACATGCTCTGCAGACACACAGACAAGGAAATATCTCATTTATATTTATATTAAACATAAGTTTAGACATTAAAACGACTCACTCAGAACTACACGTGCACACATATAATTGATGCATTTTTCCCTCACAAACTGGACAACTATATCTGGTTTACCTCGTGGCACATGTCCCACCAGATTAGCCACTTTTGGGATTGTGATTTGCGAAGAGAATTTTGGAAAGTTTTGAAAACAGATTTAGAAAGATTATAAAATCTGACCAGTGTGTAATCATGCAGCTCAAAGTGTAGGTGCATGTGAATCTGTGTGTTAATGCATGTTAGAGTGGTCTTTCATCATCATCAGCCCCTTTAGCTCCTCGGTGTTGTTCATGTTAGACAAGTGAGCCTCTGAGCAGGCTGACAGTTAATTAATGAAGTCAAATGAGCTGCAGCGTGGCAGCAATATACACTGAGTGTCTTGTTTTGTTCAATGAGGCGACACAGATAAATAGACACTCTGAACTGCTGTGTGAGCGCCTGATATGATTGAAATGCCAAACAAATATAAACTGGATGTCAGAAGTGCAGTTATCGCAAAGATTGTTTAATCAGGAACCAAAATCCTGCAAGTTTGGGTTTTGTGAGCTTTTTAAAGAGCACCCAATACTCACATGTACTCTCTGTGTGCTGAGTGAACCGCTGCAGCGTTGCTGTAGCGCCATAAAACAATGGCTGACGACATGACGTCCAGAGTGGCATCAAACTGCAGCAGGAACACAGATGAATGAAGGAAAGAGAACTCAGTCAAAATATCTCAGAAAATTCTGACGGAATTATTTTAAAAACAACAATCAGACCAAACTAATCAGCAAATCTATAAAACTATAATAGAAAAATAGATCTTATGATAAATAAAATGAAAATTTGTATTCATATTTTAATTGCAGGTACCGGCTTTGATTAGCTAAGGATGCTAATTAACATACTGTGTGAAGTCTGAATTATGATAATTTTAATTCCAGTTTTAGATCATAAAATGCAAAATGCAGATTTTTAATAACACACTAGCTGAAGCTACGGATAACCAGCTTTGCAGAAGGTTCTGCACTTGTTCATTTAACTCCAGCCTTCAGTGAAAACAGCTGCAGCACTGCAGACTAATCACATTTTGCTAATCACATCCTCCATCAATGACTCAGGGTCTGGGCTTATTATTGTCCCTTTATTAATTTTATTTCACCAACAGCCTCAGTCATTCCCTGAGACAGTAAAAAATAATATAACAGCTCTCTTTTAGATCCGTTTTGCAGACACAATGAGCATTTTGACTTTCAACCTCGTTTACCGGCTGGGTCCATCTTCTCTCCTCTGTTACCGTGGCAACAAAGGGTCCGATACCACTTTGGGGCCGGGATTCATTAATAAATCACCAAGACCCCAGTGGTGACTAATTGATCTGCTCACACCAAAAAAAGGAGGAAAACAGGGAAGCCAGGACTCACAGCAAATCCAAAGGCGGACGCGCTGTGTCTCATGAAGGAAACAGCTGTGGAGACAGACAGCAGACACATAAGGGTATGATGTCATTTAGACAGAAACAGGAAATAATTTTGTGTTTCCACTTCAGTTGACACAACATAAACATATGACTCGTTATGTGCAATACACCTGCACAAAGAAAACAAAAAATGGCTTAATTATAATGAATTATTGTGGTAAACGCCATTATCTTGATGAAAACCATACTAAATGAAATGCTTCTTGTACATAAATGCAAAAACTAAAAATAAAACTGTTGGTTGTCATATCAGCAGCATTATTAAAGACAAATTATACCATTTTAAAAAGCCATAAACCTTACTGGTGCTAATAAAATATACATAGGCACAAAGCACGATGGTGGAAGGCTAGTCATTTGAGGTTATCTTGCAGAGATAAGATGATACTGTCACTAACTTTTTTATTTTTCCTAAGGTGAAATATGATTTTAACTCCAACAGCTAAAGCTTAAATGTATCATAGACTGAAAATCCTGCAACAATCTGCAATGAGACAATGCTTCAACAAGTTCTGTGGTGGGATTTTAGAAGAAATGGTCACAAATTTATGTGACAAAATCTCATTGGAATCTAAATCCAAGACCCTGGTCTTCAATCGGAAAAGGGTAGAATGCCTTCTCCAGGTCAGGGATGAGGTCCCACCCCACGTGGAGGAGTTCAAGTATCTGGGGGTCTTGTTTGTGAGTGATGCGGACGTTCTACCGGTCTGTCGTGGTGAAGAGAAAGCTGAGCCGCAATGTGAAGCTCTAAATTTACCGGTCAATGTTCCAACCCTTATCTATGGTCACGAGCCAGTGTCATGAGCCGGGGTGAGTACTCGTCTCATCGTCTCACTATCTCTGAGTGTTTTGGTTTCAGGAGAGGGAGCAACAGCTGTTTCCAATCAGCTGATCAGCGGGCCGGTTTATAAGGAGGAAGGTGGACATGACTCGATGCCGTACAGATGCATCTAAGGATACTGCGGATCATATTGGAATAGCTTTTATTGTTCCGGAGTTTCATGTTAAAGGTTGCCTCCCTGGTGAGGTTTTCCGGGCACGCCCAATCGGGAGAAAACCCAAAGGAAGACTCAGGACACGGAGGAGGGACTATGTCTCTCGGATGGCCAGGGAATGTCTTAGGATTCCCCCAGAGGAGCTGGTCCAAGTGGCTGGGGAGAGGGAAGTCTGGGTCTATCTGCTTAGGCTGCTGCTCCCGCAACCTGACCCCAGATAAATGGATAAAAACGGATGGATAGATGGAAATCTCATTGAAATCAATAAATTTTTAATTAAAATGGATTAAAACTGTTCAGAAAGTTCATGCTTGCAGGTAAAACTGCTTTCACAAGCTCTTGCATATTAAATTGGAAAACATTTCACCCACCATCCCGGCCTTTTTGGGTTTAAATGATACTTTACATAAAATTATTGTGTATCATAATACATCCAGTCCTTTTAACACACCTGTGTTTATGACCCATTTGTCCTTTTGTATTTAGCTCTCCATCTCTAGTTTCAGTCACAGTCTCATGGGACGCCACAGTGCCTGGTGAATCACCATGGCAACATGAGATTTGAGGCCAATACAGGACTTGGTTTGAACTGAAACAAGCTTTAATCTTCTCTCTCTTTCTTCTCTTCCTCCAAACCCATTGCCTGACCTTTGCTTTTACTCAAATCCAGAGTCCAGTATCTTTTGATGAATACCACTTGTCTTGTTCTTGTCACATTTTCAGTATTTTGCAGGCACATTTCAACCTGTCTAAAGAAAACAAGGTTGCAAGGAGGAAAGAAAATGATCTAGAGAGCGAAAATCATCCTTAAAGAGACACTATGCTACTTTTTCATATTTTTAAATCATTTTAAGGAGCCAGAATGTGCTAAAATGAGACTTTACAGAGTTAATGAAATGTCACTCAGACCACCACAACCCTTTGTGGCCAGAATATCACATTTACAACTTCAGAGTATCGGTCCGGTCTGTTGGACATGCCTGGTGCTGCAGTCTGCTTCCAATACCTTTCCTCCATGTTTTAAATCATGAACACAGCTGATTTGTTTGATTTAGTGATGAATCACTCCTGTAGACACTAATGAAGGCTGGGGAGACTTTTCAGGAGCTAGATTTTGGTGTTAAAAATATGAACGCACAGAAGGAGATACATTTTGGTTTTACCAAATTGACACTAGGGGGTGCCAAAGCAAGCCAAACCTGCCTAGTTTCCCTTAAAAAAGGAAAATGTGAAGAAGCTCAAAAAAGTAAAGAGGAAATAATGACTGGGAATCAAAAGGAGACCTAAAAATTATTTGAAGATCTCCTTGAGTTGGCCTCTTTTTCTTTCTCATATCTATTACTCTCTAACTTAATCAACTGGAGAATCCAGAAACATAACAAACACAGTTCAGATACAACACTAGTTTTGTGTCAGCTCCATATATTTTCTCATGCCTGAAGGATTCATAAATCTGTAAACAATTAGCTGAAAGGAAGAACAAGAACAGAGTATCAGTGGAAACGCACAAAAAATCTGGAGAAAACTGACGAGAAGGCCTGGAAATCTGTTTAATCACCAGTTTACTCAAAGCATCTTCAAATTGTTGTCATTAAACAATAAATTAGTAAATAGCATTTGTTGTTTGTTTTCTTTTTGGTTTTCATCACTGAACCATTTAAAGAACAAATCTTAGTAGAATCTGCGTTGGAAAGTGTTTGCATCACAAAACTGGAGAAAACGTAACTTCCATTCGCCGAAAAACATGTTTTCACCACATCCTTGATTTACTCTGATTGAGAAGTTTTTAATAATCATTGTAAAGTTTCATAGAAACAAGTTAATATCATATAAATCAAATAAAAAATGTCTAACTTTTCCATTTGTTCCCAAACTCAAAGCCTATTTGGGCTGAATTTACTTCACCAACTTCAAGTGGCCAGCTGGATAATTGGCTTTAGGACGTCAAAGTGTTCATGTATGAATATCTACATTCCAGAACAGCTTCTGATGTGCAGCACCAGACTGGAACGCACTGACCCAGAACATCAAGTGTCATGTGTTTAACCTAGTTTCATGCTTTTTTTTTTTTCCCAGAATTACCCAAATCATCTCAAACTTACACCAAAGTGCCTAAAAATTCTTTATTATTTAAGGGCATGGACATTTGCATGCAGCTGACCAAAGGAATTCTGGGAAATTTTATTTTTTGGTCCTGTTTAAGATTTTCTCACGACACAGGAGGTAATCCAATGCGCCACATATTCAGAAAAATTTCAGCATTATCTTAAGTCATGCGGATTTCTCATGAATTAAAATAAAAAGACATAAATCCATTTTTCAAAAGCTGTTTTTAATTTCAGGAAGGATGTTGGCTTAAAATAATGAAAACATTTTTTATATTATTTGGTAAAATCTGAATCTGGATACCTAACTATGATGAATGTGGCTTTTCTTAATAGGGACCTATTTAGAAATGAACGTATTCTGTCTGAACTCTCATCAGACGAGGAGCTCTTGTCATTTTTCTACTTAATGCACCTATTAAAAAATGTAAACAAGGCTATCAGTCCAAAGGAGCTGGATTTGTTCTGCCAAGCTACCAATATAAAAATGTTCCAGTTTCCCTCTTCCTGCAGATATTCCTTTTCCAGCTCCTGCTCTGGAGCTCGTTCCGATGTGCCGGCCGTCTGTGTGGTTACCACTTGCCAGCAAATCGATGTCGCTCTCCAGGTGAGCAGACACCACTCCGTGTTACGTCCTCCGGCTTGTTGGTTAATCAGGGTGCCGAGCATGCATGACCAGACACTAACAAGGCTGGGGAGAAGAAGAAAGGAATCCAAGAAGAGGTGGTTTTTAAAGCAGAACTGGGGGAACATAAAAGCCCAGATGGAGACAAACTAGAAAGAACGAGGAGCTAGGAAGAGGGCGAAATGTTAAAAATGAACACTAACAAGGAACACGGGAGGGAAGTGTGAATAGTGATCGGAGAGGTGTGGATGAGACAAAGAAGAGTGTGAAAACTGGAGAAGTGTCAAATCAAGAAATAGACCACTTATAGTCTCACTAACATTCACTACCAAAACCTACAAAGCTCCTCATAAATGTAGCCCTCTCTTTACTTGACACCAGTAAAAATGGAATCTAGTTATCATTGAGCTATAGACAAGCAGCAGGGCCAATGCCATCAGCCCACACCCATTCTATCTCCCTCCCTCCTTCACTCTGACTAAAACTACATCAGATCAACCACACACTGGGGTTTAAACTGCTTGGACAGTCAAAAAATCACAGATCTGGAGGAGTCATTCAAACTTTAAAGCAATACTAATGAATTTTTCACACTTTAAGTTATTCCTTTCAAACTGGTTTCAGTGGTTCTTGAGCCTGTGTAACTTCACATTGCACACACTCTGCTGACCTCTGCTGACCAGAAACTGCACTTAACAGTTTTGTGGTTCGGGTAGGAACACTAGTGGAAGGACTCTAGTTGCCTTAAGCCGGGCGTACACTGTGCGACTTTTTCACTCGTAGCACTCAGCTTCAGCTCAAACTGTACGACTTCCTCGCAGAGCAGATCTCACGAGTCATGCACTCACACTGCACGACCCAGTTCTCGGATGCGACCCGACTGCTCACACTGTACGTCTGGTAGCAACACGTCGGCCCTAAAAATATGCTAAAAATAGCAGTTTTTACTCAACACGTCAGACTTTTTCCTCTTGCCTTGCCTGTTGTCCTTCGGGAGTGCTGCAGGAGGACACACAGGGATTTATGGGGGTTGGATGAGGACAACGAAATAAAGAAAGTAAATCTGTGTTTTGTGATCAGTTTAATTTGACATGAACACGACAAACACGCTTTCTTGACAATCTTTGTGAGTAAAAAAATGTGTAGAAATTAAAACGAACAATGTGTGTTATTAGGGAAACAGCGGGCGAGCGGTGTTGATGCAGGATTGCGCATGCGCCGTGAGCGGTTCTGATACTTTTTGGGTCGCAGCTGCTCGCAGCG